ATTCTTCTTTGCATCATCTAGCAGATTTTTTGGGTTGATTTTTTTCATGGACCCTTGCTATTTTAACAAATATTTCTTTTCATAATTGCAAACTGTAATCCTGTCTTGTGTTTCTGATTTTCTGTCTTCACATTGGCTTGTACTGTTGCAGACAGTTCAGTGGAATTTTTGATCTCCTGGATACCTGTTTGAATCTGTCTCATGGGTTCTTCTTTCCTATATTATGTGCATTGTTTTCCTAAGCTCCTTTTTAAAAATCAATATATGCTCTAGCATTACTAGCCTTCATTATCTTTTAGTCACCATCTTTGTAGTCACCTGAGAAATTATTTCTGATTATTCATCTACTTTGTTATTTCTGTTGTTACCAATTCAGAGTCCACACAGGTGGCTTTGAATTTTTCTACCTCTTTGTCCCGTGGGTTTGTCCTTAGTAGGTTGGAAGTCTGGAGCTGCATTTTGCTTCCCTGTTATCTATTTAATTCCTGGGTTGATGCTTATAAATTTCTTTTGCTTGGTAGCTTCATTGATGGTAGCAGTCATTTGGAAATGACTACTTCTCATAGATGCCTTTTGGCATAGCTGGGTTTGTATTTTGAGTTCGGTGCAAGGTTCTACCTCTTCAATTTATTGGGGATGAGAAGTTGCTGCCTATGTGGCCTCGCCTCTGGCTTTTTGGCACCCACTTATTGTTTATTGCCCTCAGGCAATCTCAGTCTTGGCATACTAGGAAGAATAACTGATTAGAACAATTACATCATCGTGGATAAAGTAGTACAATCAGTAATAACATCAAACACAACCTAGAAAAATGATAAGCTGTGGTAACTATTAATTTACTACTTTCAACCATATGAACTAGATTTGTGGTTATATAATAAAAATCTGAAACAGATAGAAAATTACATACGGTATGCTCTCAATATATGATTTTGTTACCAGGGGAGAAAATTTAAAAGAGATTGGGGAAGAAACAGAAATAAAAGACAAGAAAAAGATTAGAAGCATTGCTGGAGGGCAAAGGAAGTTTATGCACACTTTGGGACAGTAGTGAAGAACACAGAAGGGACTAGAAATGGAACAAATAAAATTAGACACAATGTCCATACTCATAAATATAAGAACAATCAGTCAAGAAAAAAAAATGTTGTCCACTTAAGGCATATCTCCACTGTCAGAATGGACACACAGAGTCCATATCCCTGTTGATTAATCCCAGTAGTGGATTTAGAGTGGGGTAGTTGATAAGTTGATAATGAAGTTCAGTCTGTTTCTGGGTGTGAGGCTGGTGCCTGAGCTGCCCTGCCAGCATGAACTGGAGTTGCTGCTGGCTTGAACTTAGCTCAGCCTCCTTACTTGAAATCAGTTTTGCCTTACGTCACACTGAGACCTGCCAGATGGAGCTGGCCCGCAGCTGCTCTGAGTTCTGAACTCAGTTGGCCTCTCTCTAAGATACCAGACAATTGCCTTCTCCTTGGAGACATCTGAACCCAAATAACACCACCCATTGTAGTTCACTACATTCCTCCACTCTTTTTCACTGATGTGTTTGTCTGTGGAGGCTTCTTCGGTTGCCAGTAGTCACTGCGTATGTGCAGGTACATGCTGTCCCTCCCATGCAGGGAGTCGGTTCAGAGGGAAGCACTGCTTGCCACCTCCTCCTTCTGTTTGAAGTCTGTCTCTTAACTCTCTTTGTGGTTGGGCCCACTTTCCTCCTTGCTCTCTTCCTCTCATTGCCATAGTCTAGCATCTGGCACCAAATCTCAGAGAGGCTCTTTTTCTGCTGATCATCATTCTGTCATCTTTCTGGTAGCCTCCTGGGGAGGATGGGAACTTGCAGAACTTACTGGACTCTTCAGGGTACTCCATGTCCAAAAGATGATTTTTATATTTCATGTGTTTCTACAGTGAGATTTGCATAACTTGTGATGGCTATGTCTTTTAGTTTTGAGGGTCTTCATGTCCAACCCTCTTTGGGGGATGTTCCTCAGCACAAATTAGAAAGGAAAAAATCTCATCATAGCAGAGATAAATCAAATACTGACATACAGCAAAAAATAAGAAAAAAGTTTTATCACCATCAACAGCAGAGAAAAAATCAACAATAATAAAATAGAGTAAACTGAAAGGCTAAAAATTAATAAAGGTTAATAGCAATAATAATAAAAAGTGAAGGGCATAAGGAGAGGCAAACTCTAAAAAGTAGTAAAATTTGAGAAATAAAGAAAAACAAGATGAGAAGGAGTAAAGAAAATCGTTAAAATCCAATAAAAGAATTAAGAAATAAAAAAATTAGGAAACAGTAATGGAAATAAGAATAAGAGAAAGAAGGAAAAAAGAGAAAAATCCACCTAAGGAAAGAAAAATAAAACCAAAGAAAATAAATAAATAGCAAAAGACGAACAAAAAGGGAAATGGTAGGGAAAAACCCACCTCTAAAATGTTTGGGTTTGTAATTTCTAAGGCCCACAGTATTGAAATCATCAGATATGGGAGGGAGAGACAGCAAATTCCAGTTGAAGTCTCTTTTTTCCCCCCAAATCTGTGGAATAGGCTTGCTGTGTGAATGTGGCATGGTCAATCAATGGTGTGCTTTCTATCTCAGGCCTGTATTCACTCCAGAGGCTTTTAGTGTTTGTTTGCATCCTTCTGTGTGTCCTGGGCCATTTTTGTCCCTAAGCGGCTTTGCAGCTGTGGGTTTAAGAGCACCCCTCTTGCTCCAGAAGCTCCCTCCACTGTATATATCCAGGGATCTGGAAAACATGCAAACAGAGGTGTGTCCCTCTGGTGGGTGGAGAAAGCGATTACACCACTGACTTTTGTTCTGGAAAGAGGAAGAAGCATGGAGAGCTCTGGGGAACCGGGTCAAGAGTCCCGATTGTCAGCATCAGGAACCCTGTCAAGAATCCCGATAGTCACAAAGAGAATGAGAGATGCGATGGTAGTTGCTATTGTCTTCCCTAATTTGGAACTTGAGGACCTAAAAAGACTTCATCATCCTGTAATGATTTGATTGGTTCTATAATATGCAATAAGTATATAAAGTGGGTGAAGTTAGGGACAACTATTTGTAAGAAGCTAGAGACAGTTAGATAAGGAAGATCTCCAGTGGACTAGCTTTGAAATCTGTATTTCTTTAAATTGTTTTTTTTTTTTTTTTAATGTTCTGTTCTGTTTTGATATGGTTAACCTTACCCTCTTTGAGATGTAAAACAAATAGGTGGGACTGATAATCATATTACGGAGCTTTTGTTCGATCATAGAGCAGAATGGTTTGTAGGGTCACTTTTTTGAATGCCATTCTAAATACTTTAATTCTATAACCTGAACAGCCATTTCGAAGATGACAATTTGTAACTTATCAACTGGCAATTTCTTACCTTTTGTTTGTCTGTAATTTAGTATTATTTCTACCCCCTTTTTTTTATCTCCATGTATTTTTTTTTTTTTCGTTTCCTTTTCTTTAAATAAAAAAAAAAAAAAAAAAAAAAGAATCCTGATAGTCAGCCATTGTTGACTTGCTTATTGTTCGGTCTTGAAGACCTAAAACACCTTCATCATCCTGTTTGGATCAGTTTTATACTATGTTGTTTTGTATGAATTCTCTGTATGTGAAGATATGAACAACTATTTGGAAGAAAACAAGAGACAATATGATAGTGAAGATCTCTGGTTGTCTTGCTTTGAAATCTATGTCTCTTACATTGTTTTCTTATATTGTGTTTTGTTGTGTTTAATTTTACCCTCTTTAAAATAAAATGAAAAAAAAAAAAGAATCTGGATAGTCAATATTGGGAACCTGGCCAAGAATCCCGATTATTTGTCTCTAGAATGCCATGAGAAAAATAAAAAACAGAGACAAGTCTCATATTCCAACAATGGTTGGGAAGTCAAAGTCTCTGGATTCCTTCTCCCAAAGCAGCCATTATTTATTCATAGTATCCAGTCATGGGTGGAGCTAGCAAAAGGATTATAATTCATCCAAAAACAACTACTTCAGTGAGCCATACATAATCTTATGTTTGAAGTATCTTGACCCAAGTATAACCTTGTGATGATTTATTGTGTAGATGATCTTATGCTTAGAAGTATCTTATCTTATCCTTGAATATAATACCGAGATGACTTATGAAGGTGTAAATGATCTTATTCTTGGAAGATGGGTGGTATCAATAACTCCAATCCTTCCTCTCATCCCACAGGGAAATATGCAAAACCAGTCACTGTGAAATTGTGTCCCCAACAGCAAGCCATGCACTCTCTTGAGCTCAATTCCAGTGCTTTCTGCCCATCCTTCAGGAAACCACATACAATAGACCTGAATCTTCACCAGAGAAGGTAATACCACCAACCACCGTGTTCTCTACAACCTGAGGTCCTCACTGCTTAAACTTCCCTGGGAGTCTGTGACTAGTCCTCTTCCTCACTATGACCCATCTGTTGTGTCCATTCACCACCCAGTTGCTGTGGTTGATTGGCCCCAGAGACTCTGAAGTGCAGTTGTTTGACTTCGGATTACTGGAATAGCTCACCCCTAAACAATAAAGCATCTCTTAAAGGCTCCCTATTTATTCTACCAATAAATATGGTACCAAATGTGGTGAAGAGTAAAATCCAACACTGTATTTTCAACATACGATCACTGGGGCTTCTGACTCTCTTATCTTCTTTTGGGCTTGGCTTGGTTTTGCGGAGCCAGTTCCCAGCTCCAACCCAGGAATCAGGTTAGCATTCCAGACTGCTTCATTATTTTCTCAGTACTGCCTTCGAGTTCATGATTTTTAGCCTTCCCAATGGGGCTTTCTCGATTCCCAGAGCTCTTCTCTTTCTTCTCATTGAATAATTGTTTTCCAGATGTCTCATTTTAAGTCCTATAAAGGCAGTGATTTACTGGTGACTTACACTCTGCAGTCTTTAACCTCTGGCTGTAGTCTGTTTCTGCGAGTATTTTAATCCAGTGTTATTTAGAGAGAGGATGAGTTTACACAAACACGTCTTACCTCAAAAGGTAAATGTTCCCTGATTTTCCTGGCAGCAACACCACGTGCAATTTTTAGCCACATTTTCTGTTCAATAAGAGGATAATTTTCAAAAGCTTCATACAAGATACCTTTGGGAATAAAGTATGCCTGAAAAAGGGAAGATATTCTGTCATTTGTGGTTTAGGAAATAAGATTTTCCTCATTCTAATAACATCAAAGCTAAGAATTTAAAATAAGTAGGATTCATCCTGTGGCCTAGAAATCTATAAAATGTATATATTCATAACTAACTTGTAATCTTGTGATATACCAGATCATGTAAAGGACACATAATCCAATGAGAGATTCTTTAGTATTCTTTTTAAAAATTACTTATATAAATATAATGTGGTAATTTATGTACCTACAATTATTAAATTGTCAAAAAACATATACTTTATACATGTATGCTTTTTATTAACTTATTTAAAATTTATATGTATCAATTGTGCATACTATGGAGTATAATGTGATATTTTATTTATGCATACATTAAAAACCTATTGTTTTAGTCATTTTAAATATACTATTTTTTATTATTATTTAAAGAAAGATAAAACAAAATAGAAAACGGGCAGAAATAGCTTTCATACTTTCAAAGAAAAGAAATAAACAGTAATAAATCACTAGTTGATGTATACATATTGTCCTCCCACAAATAGTTGTTCAAGATACAAAAGTGGAACATATAAATGGGAATTCAACCAGGGAGACTGCAACCAGTTCTGTTCAACTATCCAACAAAACTAAGTAATATGGCTATCAATCCTATGCACTTAGACACGTACACATTTATCCATATCTTCATTTATGTTGAGACCTAACAAAACTTGTTAGATTAAAATCATTCTGAACAAAGATTAATAATATTGCTGGATTTCATATTATAACACTCCAGAATCGGCACTGGGTACTGCAGTGCCCCTTTCTTTCCTCCAAAGTATTTGTTCATTTCATCATGTGTCATAAGATCAGTTCTCATAAACTGTTTATAGGTTTTATGCAAGCATGAGTCTTAACATGTATGTATTTCTATCCTTTCTATATCGGAGGGAGAAACAGAACAAAGCAAGACAACTAAGCATATTCCTATAGACACATAAAACTAAAAAGACACATAAAACTGCTGTATAAGGAGTTCTGCCATGGTCACTGTGCTGTTTCTTGTTATCATCAACAGAATTGGCTATATCATCAGATAAAGTATAATTGAACATGTCAGTACATAACAGAATTAACAGAAATACAACTTTGTAGGTAGTGTAGAGCTACAAAAACAGGTAGTAATCAAATCAGAATGGATATCGTGGTGAATCACTGTCACTTTCAATATAGTTGTCTATACTCCTCAACTTGATACCAGCAACCTAACAGTTTTGAGTTAAAATCTATCAATAATAAGCAGTATTCAAACAAGTCAGATTTAACTAAGATCAGTCATGATACAACAGTATAAGTCATACAGAGATGGTTTCTGCTTAACACCTTTCTACACATATATTTTATTCTACAGGTTGCTGTTGCATATTTCTCTATATTTTTAATAACTCATGACTAATGGTGATAGAGATTCCAGATTATTTTATCCTTCTCCAAAAATGGTTGGTCTTGTTGTAGGAGGCAACTCATGTGCTATCAGATCATAGGAGATTGTGTAGGTTTGGTTTTATCATTTGACTGGGACAGTAAGTACTGTTTTCCAAGACAGTCTGTTGTGAGGTACTTAACATCCAAAGTCTGTCTCCACCATGGAGTCTTCAGAGTTTGCTGTTAAGACTTTGTTGTAGGTCATGATCTTTATTCTTAAGGTTTATTGTTTTTGGTCTTTCAATTGGATACTTGTGGTCCTAAAAAAGTCTGTCTTTTCTTGCAAGATTCAGATTGTTAAAAGTCTCTAAATTTTGGCACTTCTTAGCATCTGACATCTCTATTCTATTCTCAGTAATCTGGTAAATCTAGTTCTTTGCAGAGAGCAGAGTTACATTCTTTATTTTAGTCTATGTTATTTTCCATTTTAATGTTTCTGTTAGTATGTATTTGTAGTAAAAATTTGCAGTACATAATGGTTATTTGTGGGGAGTATATAACTCATGGTTTTTTTTTTTTTTTTTGAGACAGGGTCTTGCTATGGAGCCCAGACTGGCCTTAAACACATGAAAATCCTCCTTCAGCCTCCCGAGTTCTGGGATTACAATCGTATGCACCACACTTGGCATAACTCATTTTAATTCTTTCTTCATTCTCTTCCTTTCCCCTTCTCTCTTCTTCCTCAATCTCTTGATCTCCCTCTCTTTTGTAAAAGACCTATCTCCCTGTTTCCTATTATCTTTTATTTTGCTCTTTAATAATATTTTGGATTTCTTATATAAGGAAAGTCATGTGATATTTAAATGTGTGTATTTGATTTATTTCACTTAATATTATGGTCTCAAGCCACACCCATTTTCCTACAAATTACTCGTTTATCCTTCTTTAGGGCAGAATAGTACTCCATTATATACAAATACCACATTTTCTTTACCCATTTTTCTGTAATGGATTTAGGGGCTGCTTTCAAGATTTAGCTATTATGAATTGTGCTGCTATAAACATGGGTATGCATTTATCACTGTAATATGATGACTTTATGCTTTTGGGAAGATACTTAGAGACAAAATAGCTGGGTTGAATGGAAGTCCAATTTTTAATTTTTTGAGGAATCTTCATACTGATTTCCAAAGTGGTTGTACTAATTTACATTGCCAAAAATATATAAAGGTTCTTATTTTCCCATACCTTTGCCAGCATTTGTTATTATTTGTTTTTTTTTTTTTATGGTAGCCACTGTTTCTGGAGTAATATAGAGTCTCTGTATTGTTTTAATTTGTAATTCTCTAGTGGAAGGCAAACTTGAACATTTTTTCATTTATTTATTGGCCATTTGTACTTCTTGGGATGTGTCTATTTCTTTCAACTGCCCACTTTTTTATTGGGTGTCTTATTTTGGGGGCCTAATTTTTTTTTGTAATTTACATATTTCAGAGATCAGACCTCAGCCAGATCCATAGCTAGAATGGTGGGCAGGGGCACTTGTTAAATCTAGCTCTGTCCATTTTGTTGTTTTGCAAAGCATCTCTCAACTGAAACCTTGTGGAGAACCAACAAACAGAGTCTTTAGTCTGTGCAACTCTTTCTCCAACTCCTTGTTTGGATGATTTCATCTATTTTTAGCTTCTTTGATTTAAGATCATTCCATTCTCCTCTCAGCAGAACAACCATCTTCTGCATGACTCCTTCTTGCATTCTGGTTAGGAAACAGCGCCAAGCAGCTCAGATATATAGAGGACTTATTTTGTGAGTTTCTTTTATTTTAGAGGACTTAGGCTTCAATTCAAAGGATAAAAATGTTTGTCCTACATTTTGTCAAGTTTTGTGACTGTTTATGTTAGATGAGTTAATGTGCTCCCAGTAAAATCATCATTGCCTGACGCCAAACGTTAGTGTTTTTATTCAAGGTCTAAATATCACACAATTTTACTTGTTAAATATTTTAATATGCATCACTTAGAGATGTTTTAAAGCTATAAACATATGTAATTATAATACTTAACTAAATGTAAAATATTACTTAATATTCTGTTAATATTAAATTTCTCAGATTGTCTCAAATAAGTCTTTATATAATTAATTGCTCAAATTACAGTAATAATATTTGGTTGTTATATATCTTCTCTCATTTTTAAAATCAGTACCGGGGATCAAACTCATGACTACATGCTTACAAGGTAGGTGCTTATGCCACTGAGCTAAATCCCCAGCCCTGGTTGTTATATACCTTAAATCCAATTTTAATAATATTCTCTCTTTCTCCACACACTTCTTTTGTCATTTATTTGTTGAAGAAATCAACTTACTCTGCAGAATCTTCTGCATTTAGATTTAACTATTCCCTCCTGGTGTAACTGAACTTGGTTCTCACCATATGTTTTCTGTAAACTAGTTCAGTCTAGAGATTTGAAGAGTTTCAGTTTTTTTCTTTTCTTATGAACTCATGAATGAGAGTCACTTTTTTTCCCCATTCAAATTAAGCTGATGGGACCCCTGGGTAGTTGAGGTTTTGTCCTCAGTCATGTTAGGGCAAATTCTTACCACTTCATTCAATTTTACTATTACTGCATTCTAGCTCTGACTTTTCTCCCTTTTTGACAATCCAAGTTACACTACTGTTAGTTATTATAACCCATTCAATTCACCACAAAGCAGCTTCTATCAACATTGACCAATTTTTCTGATTAAATTCTTTTGTTATGGTAGATTCACTTTCAGAACAATTTTTAACAAGACATTATATAACATTGAGCCAACTTTTATCATAAAATGTACTATAGATGTATCTAAACATTGAAAAGGTTTTAAATGTCATATTAAACATTGAATGAGACACAAAAATAAGACATGTGTTTTCTGACCTCAACTACAGTTTTGCAGGTGGCAGAATATTGCATTGGTTTATCTGTTAAACAGTTTAATTCTCCTATGATTTCCCCTGCAAGCACATAGTCTGCGTTAACTATGGGATAAGCTTTCTCCTCTGATTCCAAGAGAATGTTATCAGTCTCTGAATCTGACATTGTTCTTTGAAGCTGTTCAGGAGCAAAAAGAGAAAAAAAACAAACACATATGATACTTCACTTGTATTATCATTTATGTATTTTCACTTTGATTTTAACAATTAAAATGCTTGCATAAGTATCACATTATTTTTAAAATAACTTATTTCCCCTTTTAAAGTACATTTATTAAATTGACAATGGTTTAAAGACAAAGTATTCTTAAATATGTTCATCTTTCTGATGTCACCAACTCACCCAACTAGCATCCACTTTGAATGGTTAAATCTACAAGTCATATAAACATGAAAAAATTTATATTAGCATCTTAAAATAAATGATCCTTTCATGAGTTCTTATTATCTAGGAGAAAATATGGTTTAAAAGTTTATGGGCATCCATTATGGTTTGACTATTAATCTTTGGAAGTCTTGTAAGGTTTCCAATGTGGGTTTTATTGGTCTTGTTCTATACTGTTTTGTTCAATTCTATTATACCAGATGATACAGGCAACTCTTTTTAAGATAGCAAGAGGCATAATGATAACCATTGTTGATCACCCGGTATTCTCTTTTTACGTTATATACTATGTCCATCCTCCTGTTCTTACTGACTCTGTTTTGCTTTGTCACATTGGGTTGTTTTGTTTTGTTTTGTTTCCTCTTCAAAGAAAAAGTTATAAGAACTGTGGGAGTAATAAAACCCAAAATGTGTAATTGGTATCATAAAAAAGAGAGGAAAGAAAGTGATCTAAAGTATATAACTGCATGTATATTTAAGTGTGTAGGATAGAAAACCATATTACTGAATTTTTGTTGTATCATTGAACAGAACTATCTGCAATCTCACTGTATTAATGTCCACTTTGTATGCTTTAATTTTATAATCTGGACAACTGTTCCTGAGATGACAATATGTAATCTATTAACTAGTGATTTCTTACTGTATATTTTTTCTCTTGAAATTCTGTATTACTTGTACCCTTTTACTGTTTTGTTTTTCTCTTTAAATAAAAGAAAAGTTTATGGGCATTGTTATCCATTGTGTCTGATCACAAAAATTATCATTGCCAAGGATTCAGGATTCAGCTCAGTGGCACAAGCCTCTGCCTGGCAAATGTGAGGTTGTAAGTTTGATTCTCAGTACCAACAAACAAATAAACATCCAAACAAGAAAAAAAAAAAAAGAAGAAAGAGAAAGAAAGAGAGAGAGAAAGAAAAATAGGTAGATAGATTATCATTTGGATAGTCCTCTGTGTCTTAAAAAAGATATTATGTAGTTCTTAACATGGAAAACTATTGTCTATTTGAAAAAGATTTCTAAACAGATTATCAGGTATACATTTACAAATATCTTTGTTTTACCTTTACCATCCCTGAAACAATTATATAGACTCCTTTGGGCTCATCCGCTTCTTGAAAAATATCATTTCCACAATCGAAGGTTACAATTCTGGCTTTAGGCTGAAAAGTCACAAATACACAACTTATAAACACCATTTTAGCATTTATTAGAAATGTCAAAATTTAAGTTTTAAAACTTTTACATTTATAAAATAAATATTCAATAAGTTTAAAGATATTGTATTGGTAATAAATTGGCAAAAGAAGGTAAGGATTATGAATAACAAAGAGAAAAGTAGATCTTCATGGCTAGTTTTAATTTCAGATGCAGAGTTTATAAATGGTAAGGAAAGGGATAATCTAGGAATAAGAATATGCAATGAAAAAAGTATTTCACCTGGGTGAAAAATAAGGACATATGTAAGCTAAAGATATTTACATGTTTCTTATATGCTCATGTTCTTTATAGTTAATAAAGTAAATTAAAAAATCATTCATTCTAAATATTTTAAGCAGTTGAAAAATATAACTGGCTTTTTGGCACCAAATATATGAAAAAAGAATACAATTAAGACAATTAGATCTATTTATTTGTTTCTTTCACTAACATTTATTGAATATTCATTATTGAATATTACTCTGTGCAAAGTAATAGGGGCTGGTTATTCAAAAGATGAACTAGAAAAGCATAGTAGATGACAGAAACATAAAAGTAACTTTAATGTAATGTACCTAAGGCTATAATGAAAGTATATATTGGGCATAATGAGGGCATAATGAGAAAGTATATAATTGGGCATAATGTACACAGATCTATAATCTTATAATGGACCACAAAATTGTTTCTTGGTAAATAACTACACTCCAAAGCCTACTTCTTTGAGAATGGAGAGGTTTCTATGGGTACAATAAGCAAAGAAATTTTGAAAACAAAATAGAACCAGAGAGTACGTCAAGAAAAGTAACTATTACCATAGAAGAGTGGAATCAGAAAATATGAAAAGTGTACAGCATGTGATGCCTGTTTCAGTATAAACCAAATAGATGGGAAACAAGATGAAGTGAAGACATGGGCAGAAAGCAGATGATGGATTTTGCGCATCATTCAAATGGGTTTTGATTTTATCTTATAGACAATATGGACCAATTAGACAGTTTTGAACTCTGTCACAATTAAATCATTTTTTTAAAAGAGTATTTGGGGCTGGGGATTTAGCTCAGTGGCATAAACATCTGTCTGGTAAGCACAAGGTTGTCCGTTTAATCCCCAGTACCAAAATAAATACATAAATAAATAAAATCAAAATAGTGTTTGTTGATACACTGAGGATGATATTATTAAATAATAAAAAATCTTACCAGAATACACTCTATATACTTTTGGTTTTTCTCAAGCCATGGAATATGATATGGGATTTCTTCAGCAGTAAGAGGTTTGATTATAGATTGAAATTCATGTACTTCTTTTTCTTTGTCTATGATTAGCTAAGACCACAAAATTTAAGATAGAAAATGAACCAAAAAGTATTCATAAAACATTTTAAAAATCTCATTGTACTGTTTCCTATTCTTGATTTTTTGAGATTTTTTTCTTCCATGGAAATATCTAATCTCTCCCCTCTTACACCGTTTTTTTCTGTCTGATTGTATAATCAATTTTCTGGTCATATATTAAGATTTTTTTCTAGCAATCACTCCAATCCAAAGATAACTATCACTCTTTTATCACCATTATGTAGTTTTTACTGCTTTTGACTTTTATGTGCATGAAATAAAGACTATGTACTCAATTGTGTCTGGTTTCATTTGTTCAATATTATGTTACTGAGATTCATTTATGGTTTATATATTTACTGTTTATTACCCTTTGGATTGTTCCAGAGTGGGTCTATTCAAGTAATACTGTTATGAATATTCATTTGGTATTCATATGTACACAGATCTATTTGTTTTATTGTTGTGTAATATAATTGCTGGGTCATAAGATGCACATAACTTCAGGTAGATAGTACCATAGCAAGGTTAACTGTGTTAACTTGATTGGATTTGGAGCTACACAAGAGATTAATAAACCCCTATTAGATATGTCTTGATGGATCATGGAGGCTTAACCTTAGGTTTCTGGACTCTTTGAAGAATCCATGCTCTGCTTCTAGGCTATGCCTTCCACCATGACAGATAACTACAGATAGAAACTCCTGAAGCCAGGAGGTAAATTAAATATCACTTCTTAAAGTTATGGATGTTGGGGCTGGGGATTTAGCTCAGTGGCATCAGTGCCTGCCTTGCAAGTGCGTGGTTGTGAGTTTGATCCCCGGTACCGATAAAAAAAACAAAAGTTATGGATGTCAGATATTGTGCCTCAGTGATGGGAAAGCTAATATAATTGTCAAACAATTTTCCAAAGAATTGCATTTATTTACACTCCTACTCTGCTGTCCCAGTTCCATATCATTTTGTGCCCTTGATATTGTCAATTAATAAAATAAGGAATTCTAGTGGTTGTATATAACTGTTTCATTTTGTTTGCAATTTGCATTAGATTTATAATATTTGGTTCCTTTATGTTTACTGACCATTTGAATCCATTCTGTTGTGAGATTTCTTTTCATATCATTTGCCCATTTTTTTTTAAAAAAATAGAGTTTTTGTATTGTTCTTGTTGATTTATAATTTTTTTTTTGCCTTTTTCCTTTTTATCGATACCAAGGGATCAAACTCACAACTGCCTGCTTGCAAGGCAAGGCGCTTATGTTGTTGAGCTAAATTCCCAGCCCCTATAAAATGTTTTTTAAACATATATTCTGAATGCGAGTCTTTCTTGGATATATTCACTTTGCAAATATTCTCTACCCTTTTGTGTGTTGTCTTTTCATTATTTTAATTTTAAAATAAAGTATCACTTTTACAATTTATATATATCTGGAATTTATTTTTTGTGTATAGTGTGAGATAAGGGTTCAGATTCATGAGAGAAATAATCAGGAACCCCACACAGAAAAAAAATTACTGATACAAAACTAAAAATAATTATCTGTTAAGATATCATGTTCATATGTTCAGCCAATATTACAAAGATGTCAATTCTTTCCAAATTGATATACAAACTTAACAAGTTCTCATTTGCTTGAACCACCAGAGGTACATGCAAGAGTATTACACTGGGCAACTTATATCATCCAATGGGACTTTCCCATGCTGCTATATGGGACAGTCATACATATACCACTGGTGATTCAGAGCTGCCCAGCAGCGAGACATATAAATTATAGCCTCACTGCGAATGTATAAATAAAATTCCAGTGGAAATTTTAGTGCTCTACTTTGTGAAAATTTCCAAGTTGTCCTTAAAATTTATTTGAAAATACAAAATGCAAAAGTTAGTCAAGTTAATCTTGGTAAACAAACCAGGAAGATACACATGGTCAGATTTGAAGGTTTGTTAAGTTTTAGCAATTTTAAGATCAATGGGATTTGGTTCAATGATGAGCCAATATGAAACTAAAATCAAAAAGTGTCCAGAAATATACCTACTTGTTCAGAGCAATTTATTTTATGACTAAGGCTGTCTTATAGTACAATAAATTGGGTTAGGTTTCCATAAATGATGTGGTATTAATTGTATTAACTGGTTGAAGGGAGAGGCAAGGAATGCTGCGGGAAAGAATTAAGATATATTATATATAGGTACAAATTCCCTATGATGAATGTGATCACTATGCATACAAAGTGTACCAATAAAATTAATTTTAAATAGAAGAAGAAATAAATTGGTTCAGTACTATATCTAAAGCTGCAGTTTATATGTTTTATCTTTCACAGTACAGAACAAACTAAAATGAAGAAAAAATAACCATCATAGTCACAAAGGACTACTAAGTAAACATATTTGTTTTCAAAATACCCTACCTTACCTTACTAATTAGAGCACTTTCATTTTTATGAATAATTCCTTTTGTCTCAAAGCTCTTGAGAACTTCTTTAGAGATATTGAGTATGACATAAATCTCCTCCTTTGTTTTCATAGTGACAGCTATTTCTGGGTGATCGTACTCTAAGTAGCCTGAAAAATTCCAATGGATTTTCAGATGAAATAAGACAATCATTTTAAGTGTCTCACATAGATTAATAAGCTAACTCTTCTTCTCTAAGCTCATGGAGTACAACATTCAACACAAGGAAATGTATCTCTCCTTGAAAGTCCCACTACAATCGTTAATTACAATAGTGCCCGAGTTCTATCATCTCCTGGCAGCTCTCACACGCCTGCTAATCCTCTGCAAGAGGAAAGAGAGCCCTAAGTCCTAAGGATAACGAATACATCGATCCACTTCAACTGGACACTAAGCACCTTCTTGAGGCTCTAGTTCTGGTGTTTATGATTCACTTTCCAGGACTTCTGACTATAAACTATGTGCTCAAATGTGGCTTTTGAGTAAATTCTTTAACTCATCCTAGGTCATTGTCCAGTTAACTGGTCAATATCTAGATGATGTATCTCCCTGTGCTTTTCTGTTCATCTCATTTGGATTTTGGATACCCATTAAAATTTAATTCTACATTTGGCCTTTTCCTTGATCATGACTTCTTCTCTGTCCTGGTACCTATTTGCCATACTCAAACCCGACCTCGCTCTCAAGCTTGCTTTATGTTCTTTTGCTCCCTTTCACCAAGTATCGGTCCCTTTCTCTTCCTCACACATGCATATTACTGTTATCAAGGTGCCTGCTTTACTGCTAGAGTTTGTCCAGCACTAGGAATATGACCTCGCATGACTTAAAGAATAAGTTGTTGTCATGCATGAGCGCCCAGGTTCCCTGCAGTCCTCATGGAGATCTATCCTAATTTCAACTCGATATAAGGCCTAAATCCTTGAGTGGAAGCTCTACAAACAGTGGAGGGAAACAGTAACTTCTTTCCTTGTGTCATCAGGAAGATACAAGTATTTCTAGTTTGGAAGAAAATAGAGTTAATAAGGCTATCTGTTATGCATAATTATGACATGCAAATATAATTTAAAAAGAAATTAAAAGTTTTCATTGTTTTATAAGCAGAGAAAAATAGATGTAAAAAGGTACTATTACACTATACCCATCTATACTTGAAAATATAACATGTTCGTTGAAATCATTTACTTTATTACTATTAGTGAATAGGTTTCCTTTCAGGTAGTTTAACAATAAAAACAAAAACCACAGTTTTTCTAGAGGCATGATAAGAGATGGTAATGCTAAATATCTAGAATGAAAGATACCTACCTAGTTCTTTCAAGGCATGTTGCATATTCTTTGTTTCCCTTTTTAATAACATCTACAAGACAAAAGAAATGTTATCTCCACTGCAAAAAAAAATGTCATTATAAAATGTGTTTGTGCACACACCTGAAATTTTAGTACTCTGAGAGAGGAGGATAACAAGTTTGAACCCAACCTAAGCAACTTAGTGGTTTAGCAAGATCTTGCCTCAAAAATTAAAATAAAAAGGGGCTGAAATATAAGTCAAGGCACCCTGTGGTATAAGAATTTAGCTACACACACACACACACACACACACACACACACACACACACACACGTTTTTGGCATTTCTAACTGGTTGAGTTGATTTGGGTTTTTTTCAGGGCCAGCAGCATCTGAACCTTTATGCACACCACAGGCTGGGCTGGGCAGGGTGCCTGGTCCTAGAGACACCGCAGTTATCACTATAAACCCCAAAGAAATGAGGAACAAGCTCAAGTCCAGGAAATGGCCAAAGTCATGCAGAGAGGCCGCTGTTATCAGAACACTCTTGGTCAAACCCTTCAGCCACCACACTGCAGCCCGCAGACCAGTGCCTGTCCCAGGGCCCGGATGGCATTGGGTGTCTCTGAGGTTGTGTAAAACTCCACAAAGCTCTTGACAATGATTTCTGCATCCTCTCTCCTCCTTGCCCTGCTTTTGCCGGTAGGGTTAGGGTTGGGTTAGGGGGGCATTATCAGGACTCTCTCTGCTCAAGGGTGGCATCACTTTTACTTTCCAATGGTTTGTATTTAATGCATCTGCAGAATGAGATATCCTGGAACCTGCCTTAGGATAGAGTTGTCAGGTTTTACAAAGGTAGAAAAGTGACATCTAAGAGCTTCATATCTTGCTAGCATGGCACAGACATCTCAGTAAGAAGGAATGTAAGTAAATTTATATGCAGACCAACTTAAGTTTTTTAGGAATTAATTATCAAACCTGGGGTCAAAGATGATATCTAAACGTACAGAGTGAGGACACGATGGATGAGGTCAACAGAACAATGGAAGGAGTAAGTCCCTTTCTAGTTTTTAAGATTTTACTCACCTCTTTAACCTGCTTAGAAGTTGCAATCTCATCAATTATATTCATTGCATCTATTTCACCTTGGATATATCCTTTCAATATAGCATACCTAAAGGACTGCTGATGACTCATTTTTTTATCTATAATTCGCAGTAACTTTGGTGCTATGAGCTGAAAAAGCAAAATTATTGTTGAATGCAAATTATGCAGATTTTACTTGTATTTGTGTTGATTAGTTTAACTGAAATTGATCATAATAAAAAATTAAGTGCCCTCAAAGATGGTTACTACAGAAAGCTGTCAAGATTCTTTTACTTGTGGTGGCTTTTTAAGTTTATGGCTACAGTTGTTTCTCTATAACTAATAATATTGGGCACACATGGGCAACATTATTAGTTACAGAGAAGTAACATTATACCTTTATTCTTTATATAAATTTTCCTTACAGAAAGTTGCAGGTTGGTATCAAATGGTTTAGTTCTTGAAATGCAATATGCTTAATCTTCTGAGCTTAGGTGGTAAAATGACTGTCTGCAAAGTACACATGCACATGTTAAACCATCCTACCAGACCCACAAAATTACCTGTGTGGATGAAACTTAACCACACCCACTCTTAGTCTGATCTCACAATTAGCCTTTTTTCTAATCTCTTTGCTGAGGAATTGTATCTCTAGGTTCTCTGTTGTCCCTATGCAGTTTCCCAATTCCAGCACAGGTGCTGGTTCCCGTTACCTTACTCTGTATGTGTGCTCCACAACCACCAACTTCTCTCCCCCAGCCAACCACAATGAATTCCTAGAGTTTATATTCATTTTGCAAGATTCAGCCCAAGTATTACCTTAAAAAAGAAATATTTCCTCTCCCACAAGTATTTTGTACTATTTTGCACTTGTCCTACCATATAACATTGACGCATCTAGATTACTTGTCATTTGCCTTCTATACTAAGTTCCCTAGATGCACAGACTGTGTCTAATTTGTTTTTATAGTTCAAGGGCCTAACACTCAACAGAAGGGTTCAGAAACCCTGAATATATTAAGCAAACTTTCCTGAGGTGGTTTATCAGTTCTTTCACCTTAACAATTTAGTAGGCTCTGTATAGCTTTCTGTAAGGAAGAATTCACTAGACTATAGAATACACTAGATTTGTTCTTCTCAGATTATACTATACACTAGCCATTACTTACTGCCTGATAAATACTAACAGAAGAGAGACTACTGCTACTTGCATACTTTTAGCTCAGGTTGATTTATGGCTCTCAGTAGCAAGAGTATTTCTAAACATATGTAAGGAATGTATAAATAAAATTTTGTATGCTGTTAGTTTAAAATTTAAATAAACTATGGCTTATTTAGTTTTGTATTTCTCACAGTGATTATATTTTTCGGTGGCTTGTTTATGTACGAATAGAATGAGACAGAGAAAAATGCATTTGCATCCATATATCTTTATAGGTGTTGCTGTGGAGTAAGTTTCAGGCCATTGAAATAATCAAAAGAAAATAAAAAACTACTCACCCTACTTGTTACATGCGTTAGATCATCAGAAGTCATGGTTGGTACCATGATTCTATGCTACTATGAATTTATATAGAAGCAAATGAGTACTTTTGTTCATGACTTGTGTGTTACTTGTTTTGCTGCTATGAATGTTTCTTCTGTTCTTCCTGCTTCCATCTTTTATCTTCTAGGTATCTATGAAAATATTACCTTGTATCTGTGTCACTGTGCAATTTTCCCTGTGCTCTCTATTAAAAAGGAAAGCTGTCGTGAATGTTTATACTTCTAAGTGCTAAACTGATTTGTATAAACTGAATATTCAGTATATAAAGTATTTTAAAACTTGTCAAAGGAAGTTAAAATTTAAAATGTAAACATTAGCTCTATGAAAAGTGGTTGCCTTAAAATTAGTCATGAAACTGGAGGAATTTTAAATTGTGTGATTTATTTGCTCTTTACCTTAAAAAGGCGTAACACACGAAGGAGTGGAATAGTTCTCATTATTTCAGTTACGGGAAGATTATAAGATACAGCTCTTGTTTCAAAAAGTATTAGATCTATGATGCCAAACAAGGTAATTGTTAACTCAAATATATTCCAGGAATATGAAAAGTATTTCTTCTGCATTGCTGCCATCTGTTGATTTAAAAAGAAATCAACTATGGTTTTTTACTTTACCATTTTTGCAATAATTCAAACATTAAAAGTTACATTTTTTCCCCAATGATTTTCCTTAATACTCTACAAGTCTGATCTGCCACCAGGAAAACCAAAACCAAACAAACAGAACAAACTAGTTCACATTATCCTAAAATGAAGGAACAGCCATGGGACTATTAATTTAGGATTAGTTACAAACCATAAATAGAAATGAAAATATTCATAAGATGACACTGGAGAAAAGCAGCAGTGGCAGAAAGGCAGGCAAATCCAAACAAAAACATAAGGTGACATTTTTAATTTAAAATGAAGAGCCCTAAATACAATGAATGCTTAGTGTTCTCCATTTTGCAGTGTTATATTAATAATATCCAAAACTATGACTCAGCTTAATAAGAAAAATAAAATAGATTTTTTTTCATGTTATACATGGACAATGTTTTACTAAAGTTTTCCTTCTAGAATATTATATCTTATTCACTAAATTCACTTTATTTTTATTTTGTAACTTTATTTTGTGAAGATGAAGAATAAAAGTAATTTTTAACTTCTTAAAAATCTAAGTAAAAGTAGATCTTTTGTCAGAATTATTTTGGAAATTATACTAATCCTTTAGTAAATATATTAACTAGTGAATTACACTAATTTTGTAGAACTAACATACAATTTCGTCAACATGTCAACATTCAAATGAGTAATTTCAGGAGCTATTTAGTATGTTTTTATTCACGGAATATATTTTTGCATTAGAGTAGGAATAGTTCAGTAGGATGCTTTTAAATTGAAAACAGATTAAGTTGTAAGTTGTAAGCCTTTTAATTTAGGTAGTTGTAAATAAGAAATTGCCATTTTTAATAGTAATTTCTTAGTTGTTTCATGTTGTCTCTTTGACAAATCTAGAGACTAACTCTTAAGGAAATAGGAAAATTCACTTACAAATCTTAATGCTATGCACAAAATCAGGATAGAATGCATAGTTCTTTTACCTTGTGTTGACTATATTAACTTGAAAGCATTACTGTTGTAATTTAACCTGAACTCTGAGAATAAGGATTGCAGGCCTTAAACCCATGACTGCTAAGAGTTTTTCTGACAATTCTGTCTGGAATCAGCTAGCAGCAGTTGAGGGAGATTTCTTGTTGAATATGAAATTTACAGTAGAATGTAAATACTATCGAGGGAGCTCATTTTATAAGTCCTATGGCCTTGCTTACTAGCTTGAAACTTATATACAGTTTATTGGATTTGACTTCATTCTTTTCTAATACTATAGCTTTAAAGCAGGCATTAAATTTTCCAGCAAATGTCTGTAATTCATTTATTTTGTCCAAGTATAAGTTATAATTTCTCTATTTAAATTTTCTGGGTAAAATATTTTATGTTACAACTTTGATCTGTAGAACAAAACACTAATAGTTGTGGGTACACATTTCTATCATTCAGCAGCTATCTTTATATTGGATTTTAAAAACTCAATTGTAAATCTTTTAAAGTATTTTAAAGTATTCTAAAGTAAATCTATCAAACTACCCATGCTTCTGTTTATCTATAAGTACAAAAATAATAAAATGAATATTCAGATGCTTCTAACTCTCCTGACTTTAAGAATATTGTCAACATTTAAAAAACCATTCTGTCATTTTCACTCACAGTATATTAACATTTATTTTTACAAATAAATAATCAATGCTTGAAGTATTCATACTTTCTATTGTTATCCTAAAAAGCACCTTAAAGTGTTTGTTTTGAGAAGAGGAAAATTTCGTATACTCTTTAGAAAACTGCATGAAACACTAAGTTAAGAGATCTTGTTAAAGATACAATAATCACACACACATTTTAGATTACCTTAAATGCAGCCTCTATAATATACAACAGAAGGAAAAAGTAAGCAGCATATCTTATTTCACTGGCATAGATGTTATTTAACACAGGTACCCAGGAGATGGTGATAGGAAATATATTCATTAGTATTGCAAGGAATCCAATATACTCAAATTCGTCAATAGATACTATGTTATGGCATATACGAAGGAAGTGATTTCTGGGGGGAAAAAAGACAGTTTTGTTTGACTAAATAACTATATCAAATGGTTTGCATTATATACTTTGTTCTGTTTTAAACAGCAATAATCATAGAGCCCTGCTTAATTCTTGGAAGCAGCTATCACCAGCTAATATTGTCTTCACATCTCGATTTGGATATTATCTTTTTAATTTCCTCTTCAACTAAATGTCTTAGATCTGGTTTCCCCTTGCTCACTTCTCTCTTCTCATTCATATTTTTTTTCAGTAATTCATATTTTTCTCACTTCTCATTCATATTTTTTGCAGTACTGAGGATCAAACCCAGAACCTTTGTATTGAGCTACATTCCCAGCCCATTTCATTTTTAATTTTAAAACAGTCTTGTTAAGTCACTAATTTGCCCAGGCTGGCCTGGATCATGCAATCCTTCTGCTTTATTTTCCATAGTTCTGGGATTATAGCATATGCCACCATACAATGCTTTTCTTTTACTTTAAAAGGAAATACTTTTAGTGTGAGACGGATAATTCAAACTCAAAAAACAAAACAACGAGAATCCTTCACATCCTCCAAAAATTCTACTTCTACAGAATGACTACTAACAGTTTGAATATTGTTCCAAAAGAAATTATAGCAACCTGCTTCAAAAAATGTATTTATGTTTTTTAAAAAAGCAATGCACTAGTTTAATGACGAGGCACAGGGAAGAAGTACAGGATGTGTAGTGGTGGGATAATATGGAGGCAAATTTTATCAAAAAATTTAAATTAATGAATGAATATGCTTTGAAAAATGGTTTCCATAGCAAATATGCTAATAGATAGAATTTCAAATGAGAGGATCTGCTTTTCATATTTTTAAAACCATTTCGGAAATTATTTCAAAGGTATATCAGTGCATGCTTCTTGTTAAAATGCTAATGATATGATTGATCGTTTTCCATTCTCAGGGAGTACATTTGTGTTAGATGTCAGAAGCTCTTTATCATTTTGCATTCTACTTGAAAGAAAGATGAAATTATGAAACAGAAACATGCTTTCCTGGATACAGCAGCAATGCTAATGACTTATTATATTCTAGTTTAGTTTTGCCAGGTGGATGAACTAAAGGGGATGTGATGGGAATCACTCATAATTCTGTTAAACTTTTAGCTGTCTGTGTTAATTTCCTAATTCCTCCCAGAATGCTATATTCTTTCTTATTTTACTGTTTGGATTATAGGTTCTACTTGGTTATTCCTGTCACAACAGTTCTTACTTTAATCCATGGGGATAGTTAGTCTGACACTAAATATATACGCCCCAGCTATACTTTCATGGACTTGTGGAAGTAGCCACAAAAGGGCCCTTCACAGTTGGCTCTGCCTGAGATAAACGAGACCAGAAACTCCAAGAGCTCAGGTCTAGCTTGAGGACCATGACGGCAAACAGGCCTTTAGTATTGCTTTTAGCTTCTTAAATGCCATATTCGAATCATCAAAAGTCTGAGTTTTCACTTTTTCCCCTCAATGTATATTAGCTCTGCTAAGATTGCTCAGTGTCCATCAAAAATATTGAGGAAATAATTCTCTTCTGTCTTTGTGAGATTGTTGTAGGTCTTTATTTAAAGACCGAGGTTCAGAGAACTGACTTAGGTGTATACCATGGAGAAGGGAAAAGGGATCATGGTTTCCTTTTGGTGTGGGTGGTTGCATCCCTTTCGTAATCAGTCTCTTTTTAGAAAATTATCGCTGTAGCTAACTGTTTATCTGTGTGGCTCTTTGGCATGCTTTATTTCTTAACCGTTCCCCGTTCAGGGAGCCTTGCTGATCAAGGTCCTCTGCTGCTGTAAGTTCACTGCTCATAGAAGAAAACATGCCTGCTTCTGTGCTGTCATTTGTCTTTTGCTATTCCCAGTCCTATCCATCTTTTTGATAATCATCGAGATCAGTCTGTAGCAGCCATTCTTACTGGCCTGTTGAGGACATCTACACTGAGTTTCTCATGTACTCTGGACCTTCCCAGGGAATAAGTGCATGCATTTGCTTTTGTGTAATAAATTTAGCTGGATTTCCCATTTGCTGTAGATTATTGGTCTGGTCAATTTCCAAAGAACCAAAGCAGCACTGTAATATAGTGCCAGCTCAAACCGGCCTTGTCAGAGTGCTGAATTCTGTGTCATTATGAATAAAATGACCCAAGCTAAAAAAATTTGCTCAACTCTAGCTGTATGTTGCAAACTTGTGGTCTAGCAGTCGTAAGGTTTATTTGCTCATATGTTTGACCAGTATTTTCTAGTATTAGGTCCTGTAATTCCTACAGAAAATACTTTGTAGTCTCCTGAAGCAACCGATATATATTTCTCTTATAGCTATGTTAAACCTGACTAGGTAATTCCTGGAAATCAAAGAAAGGTTCTAAACACTAAACTTGAAGGGGAAAAAAAGATAAACCACATTTTGTGATGTCTCTGTAGTATCTAAAGGTCAGAGAGACCAATCCTCTCTGGATGGTGGTGTGGGGCTGCTTCCTCAAAGCAAAATTTCATGAGATTCTGGAAGTTAAAATTCTTCAGAATTTTTCAAGATTGTCTACCTTGGTGGTATTATTTCAGATTTCAGGATCGCAATTTTTTTTTAAATATAGCAGCCCCAATATTAATACAGAAGCCTTATTGATGCTATTCATTTATTTTCCTTTGCACAGCTCTAGCTAAGTCTCCCAAATTAGATATGCTCTTATGATTTTATTACTTAAATTATTTAGTTTCAATAATTTACATTAAAATTTTAAGTTAATAATTATATTTTTCTGTTCAGTTTCCATTGGAGACTGAACTGATTGTGATTTCACTGTCTAAAAATTCGATAATTTTAATAATACATTATAGTTCACACTTGGTGGTACCTCAAGAAATTAAATAAAGACTTAATAATTGGATACATAGGAATACAACCAAAGGTAGAAAGTAGGTGTTTAAACAAATACATGTGATGAATGTTCACAGGTGCTATTCACATCAGGTCAAATGTAGAAATAATACAAATATACATCATTTGAAGAATGGGTAAACAAAATATGGTATACATAAACAATGTACTATTATTCAGACATAGAAATGAACCAGGTATTGACAATACTAAAAAAAAGATGAATCTTATGGTAATAATACATGCTACAGTGTGCATGAAAACACTATGCTAAGTAAAAGAAAACAAAACTATATACCAATGATTTTATTCATAAGAAAAATTATGAATACATAAAAGAAAATAAACTGTGCTTCTCAGGAGCTGGAGGAAGAATGGGTAGCGACTGCTAAATAAGTGGTGGTTTATTTTTGAGTCAATGAAAATATTATAGAATTTTGTAGAGTTTATAGTTGCCCAACATTGTAAAGGTACCAAACAATGACCTGCATACTTTAAAATGACTGTTAATGTTATATTATGTGAAATTTACCTTAATAAAAGAGAGAATGTTATTCTTATGTATCTCCTTTAATTTTTGCATGCATATAAGTAGCTGAGTTGTAAACTACTTCGAAATATTTTTGTAAAGTGTTTATAATTTAAAAATAAAGGAAAATGGACTTAGAAATGAATAGTACTATTAAGTGTCAAAAGCACTTACTTGGAGAGGGGCCCTTTATCTTTTTTAGTATTATACAGCCAATTGAGCAGAAGTTTTCTAAAGACACCAAGAATGTTTTTGCTTTCAGAGTATTTCTTTATTGTTTCAGGATTTATATATCTAAAAAAATAGAAAGACAGAGATTTTTAAATTCATTTTAAACATTTTAAAATAAGTTTAATGCATTATGGAGAGAAAGTAGACAGAATATTTTGTTGAATGATGAATTGTGACATCGTCAAGGGCACAGTTCTAAGTCTTTAAGTTGTAGACAGAAGTAGACAGGCATGAACTTAGGCTGTAAGACCCACTCACCAAAGACAGAGTGCCCCAAAAGTTGGGATCCATGGTTTAAAATAACTTAGGAGTTTAGTGTCCTAAAAGAAAAAATATGCCATGATACAAATATTTGGGATTCAGATACATATGGATTTTCCTCTTGGATCCTCTGTTGTCTGGTGTGGCAGTGATCAAATTACTTATTATACTTGCTCATCTATAAAATGGGAGTAAAATGATCTATGTTAGGTTGGAATAATTCATTGAAAAAAGTGTATGTGAAGCATCTGACCCATCTGTTACACCCTTGGTGTTTCACCTTCAGGGCAAGTTGTCAAATTACAATGTCTACTGAAGAGTTAAAATGGAAACTTGAGGGAGTCAAGTATCAAACTCACCATTTTTTTTTCTTTTGCTAGCACTTGGATCAAGTTGTCTGTAGGTGCTGCTGGTTTTTGTGTTGACACAGTTCATAGCTGTATGTCATAATTTGGTCTTACCTAGTCAGTCCCTTTTGTTTTGCCTGCTGATGACCAGATACTTTTTATTATCTTCATTAGAAACATGCTAGAGTTCTCTGCTCTTCAGTCTGAGACTCTAAGGGAAGGGGACTGGACACCTAAGTTCAGAGATGAGCCCTGTTCTTCTAATTGAATATAATGTTCTCACTGTGGAATTTGTACAATTTCTCTGCTACAAGATATTAATGTAATAAAAGAAGAGGAAGGACATTCATTTCTCTAAGGGGCAATATTAGTAATATGGTGATTGCATAGAAAATCTTAAATATGTATATGGATTTATCAAGTCGTAATTTTTGGGAGGTGGACTGGGGATCGAGCTCACAACCTTGCAAAAATTTGCCCAGGCAGGGACTTATGCCACTGAGCTAAATCCCTGGCCCTCATAATTTAAAAATTATTTTTGAACATTTGCTGCGATTGATAAGTGCACATTTCTTCATACATAAACCTTAAAGAGATACTAGCCTCTGCCCTGAAGGTTCCATCAAACAAGTGGGATGAAGCATGCAAACAACACAGTGAGGTGTAACACTGAGGCGGAGACAATGAATAAGGGGGGACTCTCTACTCCCAAAGTAATGGAACCTTGGAGGATCAGAAAAACTTCCTGAAGGAATTCATATCAAAGGTGAGATCTGACAGTTTCATAGATTCACACAAACGCTACAATTTTGTGATATCAATAGTCTGTGATCATTTACAGCACAAAGTACTAAGTGATTCAGGCTCTTGAATTCCTATTTTCCAACAGCACATTCAATGCTTAAAACTAACTTAGCAAACAGTATGATCTTTTTAATTGGATAGGGAGACAACTTGGTCTTGAATTCTGGCCTTCTAGTTTACTAGAGAAATGACTGTGGGTGAGTTAGTTCATCTTTCTCTGCTTCACTTTTCTACCCTGTATGGTGAAGATCACAACAGCACCATTTTAATAGACAAAAATAGGTTATTCACACAAACTTCCCCAAAATGTGCATGGCACAGCACTCAGAAAAATATGTATTTAAAGTATTATTTCTTGTGAGGGGTTTTTTGTACAAATATATGTTAAAAATGAAATGAAGCTAAATTCTATATACAAAAAAGTATGCCATACATTTTCCATGTTAGAAGTTTTAAAATAAACCAATCAGGATTTTAAAATAAGGATCACTTGTCTTTAGGACTCAGATCAATTCTTTTCCTAGTAAATCTTTCCATTTTAAGAAAGATATTTTTCATCGTTTTAATAACCTTCAAATGCATTGATAGTCAGAAGTACTTGTATAAGAAATTTTAATTTCCAAATTTTATGTGTATGAATGTCTATAGTATTTTTAGAGGTTAAATATGAATAATTTCCATGAGAAATTTTCTTCAGTACTGTTTTGCTTTTTATTTCAAAAAAAATGACTGATCTCCGCCATCTTGCCAGTGTTTTCAGCTTGGCTCCTTGTAGATGTTGGCTGCAGTTCTTTATTTAAAAAGTTTCAAAGTTTATTAGTACACTCTGCAGCACATAATGATTACACTTCTCGTGGGGAGTGAGTATGCGTACATAACACATCTTTTTTTTCCCCTTTCCTTCCTTTGTTTCTTAGGCAATTTCATATGTACTTGGTATAAATCCTGGTGCCCCTGGATAAATCCTCCACTCTTTCTAAGACTTGTTGTTCTCACTAAAGGATACTCCAGCCCATGGAGCTACTGATAGAAATGATTAAGAAGTGCAAAATCAACTCCCAGCCCAGCAGAGAAGTGAGTACAAAATGTAAGTGCAATCAATAGAAATTCTTTCAGTTGGGACACCGTCTTACTAATATTGGTATGTCCCACAGTGCTTGGCTCAGGCCTTTGCACATATTAGTATTAAATGTGTTTCTCCAACACATGTGAATTAAAATGTCACACGTTTTAAATTTTGATTATGTTATTCACTGAACTCCTTTCAGTAGTTTGCTTCCTCCTCTTTTGCCCACTTTCTCTGGGTCTTTTAAGGCGTATGTTGTTTCTGTCTTTGCCCAAGATTTAAAAGGAGGAAAGTAAAGCAATGGAATGAGCTTTGTTATGCTGCCTTGTTATTGTCATTTGTTATATTGTTATTTTATCACCTGAACAATGTAGAGATAATTTTTTAGCATGGCATTTATTCATTATTGTTATAAATTGATTTGTCCAGGTTTTTTTCCCCAACATCCTTAATTCTATTCATATCACCTAAGCATTTGAAGGACATAGATCAAAAAGAGAAATGGAAATATTTAAATATTATAAATTGCACAAAAACTAAATTTTAAATGACAAATTTCATTTTTCTACCTCACTACAGAAAATGTGATGAGAACGATCACGCTATGCTTAAAATAAAATCTCTTAAAAGAAAACCTGTGCTTGAAATACAATGAAAACATGCCACAGTTTCTAGAAGCTTCCCTTTTCATCTCCAGCTTTATCCTCACTAGCTGGTGCATGTGAGTGGACATGAGGTTGGCACCTACTTTGGGTTAGATATGTGCACATCAAAGATCCTGTTGCTTATGGGAAAATGAACCAGGGGTAAGGGTCTAAGCAGACGCTGAAAATTAGTTTGGGGTCATTTCATCTCAGGATACAGGTGTGTTTGGCACTAGAAGTATGCTATAGAACTAAAACACATCTGGGCTTTGAACGGACATTGTTGCAGTTGCAACCATCTGCTCAAGGGTAGATCTTTTATTCCTCCCACGAGGAGTGATGTGAATGTGGTCTTCAATACATCCACTTGACGAAATGCTTGCTTACTGTGGAAACCTCTCTCCAAGGAGACTTCTCTAAGATTACAAGTGCATGTCGAGTAGTATTAAAAGAGGATGTGAAGTGCTGCCTATGTGTTCGATGGGAAGATGTGCCTGCAGAGATTAAGGAACAAGAAAAGGAAGAGTATTTGGTAGACAGAAGTAGCAGCTAATTAAAGTGCACACAAGTGCAAACAAGTACAAGTTTCAGAAACTGAAAACTGATTTGGCCTGGGTGTGGGGAAGAAGAGGCAGTGGCTTATATGCATAAAAGTAAATGAACTCATATTACCAGAGAAAAGCAAAAAAAACACACAACTTTCTATACGTGGTACCTTACAGATAAAAGCCCACTCCTGACAGCATACTTACTCTCCTTTCTTCTCGCCAAAGCATTCTGAGGCTCCTACCAACACCAGGAATGCATTCTGCGACAAAATTCCAGTCCTGTACTGTCGTTGGTAGCTCGCCTGAAAGAAGTATGAATTCAAATTATTACATAGCATGCATAACAATGGCAATTTATTGGCAACTCTATGGGAAAGTGATCTATGAGAAAAGAATCAGAAACTCTAAATAGTCTGTTTAAAGAAATAAACTTCCTCTGGGTCCCAGATCACCAGATTAGTGCAGAAGGTAGATTTAAGCTTTGGGTGCAACAAGCTGGTTCTGTGGGAAAGTAGGCTACTGGTTAACCAAGTTTCCTAAATAAATAGAGTTCTGGGTTAAATAAGTCTACGAAATTTCAAGTTGTAGCCTTGTCTTGAAGGTTCATAATACATATCAAAGACTGAGAAATGTTCAAGATCCTAGTTTGCGTCTTTAATTCCATATTTATTTAATTCCATGTTTCCAACTATATTTCCACAACAGAACTATGCAATCTTCCATGTATTATACACAGTGAAGAGATTGCTGTTGTTCTGCAGAACAGTTGCTTCTTCATTGGATAAGTTTGAGACTGTTGATGCTGAGACAATTTCTTAAACTGTCCCCACCTCAGTATGCTGAACACAGTAGAGAATCACTGTCTTGACCAGCTCCCTAAAGTGGAACATATGCTATAACCAAAATCATGGGTTCTATAGGACGGATTCTCCTTGCACGGTCACTTATGGATGCTAAATCATTCTGTTGTTTTTGTGGATACTAGAAAGGGATAACAACGAAATTTGAGGATGTAAAATAGAAAAGTTACTTGTTCATTATTACAGGAATTTAATGAAATAGAATTCTTCTCCTTAAGTAGCATTAAAACACTTGTAAACACAATGCAATATGAAACTATTTCACTGTATTCAAAGATAAAAATTTTTACCACCGGTAAAATATGGTGTGTGTGTCCGTGTATGTTTGTGTGTGGGTGTGTGTGTATGTGTGTGTATACACATATACAAAGTACATGTGGCAAAAGGAGTGAGGTGGGAAGTGACTGTGGTGATGGCAACAGGAAAGCTTTTGGTCATAAGTCTAGTTGGAGTAGTTATTTTAAAAAGTGTCTAACATGTACATTACTTAAGGAGAAGCAAAGTTGTTTGGCAAAGTTAAGAGAGCACTGAGAAAGATCAGAATACATGTTTGCATCAATCTGAATAGTAGACAAGAGCATCAACAGGAGAGCAAGTAGTGATCCTGGCCAAATCCAAGGTGAAATGGGATGAGTGCTGAGAGACAGGTATGTAGGGAATGGAATAACGCATATTTTACTGAAATAAGCAATATTTGCAGTGAGGAAGGCCACACATGACCATTTTTGAGAAGTGGTCTGAAAATAGTCTGCTTTACAGATTCGGAAGGTAGTTTGGAAGTTAGCATGAATAGTATATTTGAATAGACACAGATTATGTAGTTGTGCTAATGATTGATATTTCTATAATGTGTTTATATTCTTCTTTGCTTTCATTTTCTATTAGAAAAATGCATAATTTTATACTCTGGAAATTGCATAGCAAATTATGATTACTTTCTATTATTCTGCAACATTCTTTCAGTTGTATACTAATTTTTGTAAACTTCCCCATTCTGTTTTCCTAACTAAAGGGACCAATGGTTGTATCTTAAATCAACCAGAAGCAGCTGATAAGACATACCCCATCTTATGCCACGACAATGCAGACTAGCCCTTCTTTACTGTTCCTAATTCCTCTTTGATTTTGAAATTCTGGTCTGGTTGCTTGCCTGTCCTATTCCACCTTCTCACCACAAGTCCTGCAGGCTTACTGTGTTCAGACAGCCTGCCCCCTTTTTTGTCTTTAGACACCACACAGAGACGGATGCAAAGGGAAATTTTAATAACTGGCTATTGTCACTTTACCTCCCAGATCCATGGGTTGTAGAGCATATGAGATGGAAGAGATGGAAGAGCTTAAAAAAAGAATGCATTTCCCAGTGTTAGCTATGTAGAAGAAATCATTGCCCTGCAGGTGGCAGTACCTAACTTTTTGGTAAGTCAAGCTGGAAATGTGCGGGTGAATCAACTACTATGTATGTGGGCCTAAGCGTCATTCTTCATGAAGTGCCTCAGATTCTTTTTTTTTTTTTTTTTTTTTTTTTTTGAAGGTAGTAAAATACAACAAAATAAGACAAAACAAAGCCAATCAAGACAATGCAGTGAAACTGATTCAGAACTTTAGAGCAGGATACCGGGATAACAGTAATAGGTATACATCTTGTTATCTTCACAATAGTTGTCTATTCAATCAGGTATAGCAAAATCAAACCAAAAACAACATTATAAAACCTATAAAAACAGAATATTGAATAGAGCAAAACAATCAATCAGAACAAAGCAAAATAGTGAAAACAATATTGGCCTTCAAAAAGAAGATAGAAGGAAATCTCCCACATTTGCTATATTGCATACTGTCATCTTCAAGAGATGCTCAGACCTCTGGCCCCAGGTTGGCATAATCAGCCCAACAACACAAGCATTTAGTTGCTTTATGTACCTTAGTTGCAATCAGCTCCAGCTGTCCTTGACACCATCCAGATACTAAACTGGATGGGTAGGGGTGAGATAGGCTCATGGGGGACACTGATTTGTTCTCTCCCTGGCTTGCCCACTGCTTGCTCTTGCCCACTTACCAAGAAGGAAGGCATGCTGCTTTTTTGCTTCATGCCTCAGATTCTTAAAGAAGTTATTTAGGTCCCTGAAAACTTGTCTGCCAGGACTACAGCTGGAGCGAACATTCAAAGATCTTCCACTTCCCAAGTTAGAATGAGCAAGTAGAGTGTTTGCAACCCTATATGCCTGGGATGGCAGAGAAATGCATGGCAGCTCTCCATGCACTGGGAAGGCCCACCAAGAATATTTTGAAAGGATGAGTCATGAAGCAAATAGTTAAGAGCCTGGGCTGGCTAGGAAACAAAAACTAGGCTATTAGCAGTTCCCCACACTGTCCTATACTCTGCCATACTACAGAATTTCCCTAATTGTTATCATAGATTTGAACAAAATCATGATGTTTTCTACCTGCATTTATTAAAGGATTCGGTGTTATCCTTTCAAGAAAAACGGGTTGAAATCAGAAACAGTGGTGTCACAGAACTGACTAATACATCTAGAACTGAAGCCTAGTTGTAATTCTTGCCATTGGTATCTATGAAATTCTCAACTCTTGAAAATGAAACACTTTTACTTAAGGTAATATGAGTAAGCTTGCCTTCCTTCCTTCCTTTCTTCCTTCCTTCCTTCCTTCCTTCCTGCCTTCCTTCCTTCCTTCCTTCCTGCCTACCTTCCTTCCTTCCTTCCTTCCTTCCTACCTTCCTTCCTTCCTTCCTTCCTTCCTTCCTTCCTTCCTTCCTTTCTTCCTTCGTTCCTTCCTTCCTTCCTTCCTTCCTTTCTTCCTTCCTTCCTTCCTTCTTTCCCTCTCTCTGTCCCTCCTTCCCTCTCTCCTTTCTTCCTCTGCCTTCATTCTTCCATCCCTTCCTCATTTCTCTCTTCCTTCTTTTCTTTCTTTCCCTCCCTCTTTCCTCCTTGATTCCTAAAATGATAACTTTCCCTAAGTCTTTGTAAACAGTCTATTCAGTTACACAGGTGAGCACACTTAAAATCTACTTAGCAAAGCATTTTAAAGAGTAAAAGTGAGCTGACTATTTGTGCCGACACAAGGAGATTGTTGGCCATTTCCATTGCTTCAATGGTGAGGGTCTCATCTATTTCCGTGTTACAGCTCGAACATTTCAACTTCTCATGTTCTGTTGTTTCTTCCTGACTCAACTAAATAAAATACAAATTAGAAAACAAAGAATGAAACATGAATATCAACATATTGTTTGCCATAAACCTCAAGGAATTCTGGTGCTGGCTAATTTATTACTTGCTTAAATGTTCTCATCTTTTGTTCAGTTATATAGAAGGTACAATAATTGCCTGTTTTAAAGAAAACAGTTATATATTTATTTCTATGTTGCATTATTAAAAGTTTGTAGAAGTTATTTCATATGTGATTATTCTCTAAAGCCAGTAGTACTATGTGGACCAACAGCAGCAGCAGAATCAGCTGGAAATTATCAGGCATGTACCTTATTCAGACCACCCCTAGACACACTGGAGAGATAGACACCCCCTCGACCCACCAGAACCTAGAGAGGTGGACAGCTGTTTGTGTTTCTACAAACTCATTCAGCTTTAACTGTTGCACTTACAGTTGACAAACACTGCTTGAATGAATCACATACGATTGAATAAAAACCAAACACGCATTAAGGAGAGAAGAATAGAGATAATTTACTGAGAGAAACTGAAGCTTAGAGAAAACAGATGATTTGGTATAGATCTCAAACAACGTAAGGTGATAAAGCTAACATATAAACCCAGATTTTCTAAGCGCCTGCTCTACCTACACCACCATAGTACTCTCCCCAAATCTGTCATAAACAGCATAATGCCATTGTTTGTTCATCTGTCTTGGTGAATTAGATTAAGTACCAGGATGGTGGCTGCAGTGCTGACTACATTAGAATTGTGTAGGTAGTGGAGTAAAAATGTTTACTCCTGGAACCCTGCATAGACTACCTGTGTCAGAATCTCTAGGGTAGGAGCTGGAAACTCAACATTTTTATTATGCTTTCCAGATGATTCTCATGCAGGCAGGTCAGCAAAAGTCTATAATCAGATATGGGTAGCTAATAGTAAAATCCTTGGATTGGTTCAGTAGTCGATCCAGAAATCCTGGCTGTGTTGCTGTAAAAGCAGGGTTTGGTTCTGAGTCCCTATGTGGCGTTTCAAGCCTTGGTTAGTGGCTATAAAATGGATTTGGGGAGATCATTTTTATGGATATTATCTCTCCTCTGTACTTCTACAAGTTGACTTGAAATAATATGTGATGCAGAAAAATATCACAGTAAAAACTGGACAAGACATAGGACATGGAAAAGCAGTAGCAGCTGTGAGAAGATCCCAAAACAATGTCTACTACTTTCCATTGTGGAAATCATGCCTGGTTAATATTCTGAGTAATCTTAAGCACATGAATCTGACTAAAAAATATTGAAGGAATGCTCACTTCCAATCTGTTCAAAATATTGAAATTTTCTAAGGTTCACTGTCTTTACATGGTACATTCTAAAGCAGTTTGAATGCATTGCTCCTCTTTTGAATTTATAACATATGTTTTCTGTATACTCAAGGGGGTCATGATTTCTTTTTTCCCCAGAATGGTCAATTTCTTAAGCATTCTTCCTTACTATAATAACAAATAAGAAGTTTCAATACATCTAAGTCAATTACAAAATTTAAAAATTGTTAATATTTATGATAATGATTTATATTAAAAGCCAATCCTATCTACTTTGAAAGAACAGAGAGATGTTACATGCTTACTGCAAATGGATTTTGAAGTACAATTGCCTTCTCAACCATGTTCCAATCAGAATTGGCAAGATCTTTGTCAAATTTGAGTGTGGAGGCTGTAGATTTGATTAGCTCTTGAAAGCGTTGAAATGTATGAAGATTTGATTTATATTTTGTTGATGCAGCATCACGAAGACCTTTGATACAAAGAGCACATATTATAAACCAAAGAGACACCGTCATTTTTCGATATGGATTTTAGATCATTTTCTTTTGCTTGCTTAATGTCACCAAGAATTTTTAAAATATTGTTTTCGTCCCTTTCTTGCCATTTGGATATAATGCCTGATTCCACGTGTGAAAGATGAGAGGTTTATTTTGTCTCACAGTTTTTAAAGATTTCAGTCCACAGTCAGCTGGCTCCAAGGTAGAAAGCATGATAAGAGGGGAGAGGCAGAGCCAGAAGAGAAACCACACTTTCCCACGAGCCAGGCAGTATTCAGGTAGAAAAACTAGAAAAGCATTCTCACAGGTGCCGCCCCGCCCTCCTCCCGCCACCTCTGCTGACTCAGAGGACTCAGGGTGAGATGACAGCAGCTGAAGAGCTTGATGCTTGTATTGTTGACTTGGCAGGCCTGGGCTGGTGGTCTGGGCATCTACTCTGAGGATGGCAGTGTGCAATGTGGGGCAACTATGGGGGATTTCCTCTGGTCTTGTTTTTGAAATCCAATGTTTTGTTCCATTTTAGTGTTTTTATTCCTGTGTCTGATAACACAAGCAACTATTTTGAGATAACAATGTGCACCATTGTTCACACTGCTTTGTTTTGTTCCAATGTATTGTTTTGTTTTATTCAGTGTTATGTTTTGAATGGTTTTATTCTGTTTTGTTTTGTTTGATTTTGCTATGTGTGGTGGTTATGGACAACTATTGTGAAGACAGCAAGATACACAATGGTGGCCATTGGTGATTTCCTATTATCCTGTTTTGAAGTTCTGTACCACCTTCACTGCTTTGTTTTGATTGGCTTTATTTTATTTTGGGGGGGGGTTATTCTCTTTAAAACTAAAAAAAGGGAGGCATATGCAGGAGAAAGCTGCTCACATTACAATGGCCAGCAAGCAGAGACTGGGGCCGAGGGAGGGGCTGAGGTAGATACACCTTTCCAGGTTATATATTCAGTGACTTGCCTTTTCTGATGAGACCCTATCTGACATTAGCAAGTGAGCTATATTGTCCCCACAATTCAATCCCTTTCCCCAAACCCCACCTATAGCATGTGAAGACTCGTCAATCTCAACCTAAACTGTAACAAACATTAAAGATTCAACATATAAACTGCTTAATAATAGAAATACTAACATGTTAAAAAATTTCTACTTTTATACTACTTACAAAAGCTAAAATACAGTAATAAAATACAGTAATAAAAACAAAAGCTAAAATACAGTAATATAGTTATAGCTAATGTTTTGGGTGCTTGCTATATGCTGGGAAAATGTCCTTCAACACTGCTTGTAGTAAATTTTTTAGCTCTTGGCTAAATTTTGAGATGAGTCCTTTCCCCCAGTTTGATAAATAAGGAAACAGGAACAGAGATGCAAGAGTTAAATTTGTGTGTCAGCTTGAGTGGAAGACAGGGCACCTAGATATTTTGTTAAACAGTAATCTGGAAGTTTCTGAGGGACTCTTCCTAGAAGCAAGAATATTCTATAAATGCTATTCTACAGCTTTGGGTGAAAGCACCGTGCTCTCTTCAGTGTAAATGGGCCTCATCTAATCTGTTGGAAGCCTGACTGTAACAAAAGACAAAGCCATAGAGAATTTGCTCTGTGCCTTGATATTTGACCTGGGATATTAGTCTTCAGTCTTTACATTTGGACAAGAACTTACAGCACTGACACACTGCCAGTAGTTCTTGGGCATTCCAACTGTAGACCTTTGGACTTATCTTTCATAATCACATTGGCTAATTAAACATATTGGAGGCAGAATTATTTGCAGTATTCTCTTTATTTTGTAGTATTCTCTTAATGCTTTAAGAAGTATTGCTTAGAATCTCCTATGTCTTTTTTATTAGTATATGTTCACAATGCTTAGGGAATTGGTTCGCACATATGTAGCATCTTGACCACTTTTTTTATTTTTGTACTAGGAATCAAACTTAGGACCTCGCACTTTCCAGGCAGGTGCCTGTTTTACTTCCTCTTCCCCTACTTCCAGAATGCTTTTCTATTCTCTAAAAGAATCAACTCTGTTTGACTCATTGATCGTTTGTATTTTTTTATGGCTGTTTCATCTTTTCATTCTGATCTTTATTAATTTCTATCCTTCTTTAGATTTCAGATTTAGATTGCTCTTGTTTTTCTAGAACCTTGAGATGAGTCACTAGGTTATTTATTTGGGATCACCCTATTGTTTTTACAAGTTCCTTCACAGCTATAAACTTCCCTCTTAGAATTGCTATCACTGTGCTTCATAGGTTTTGGTATGTTGTCCTTCTATGATCATTTGTTCTAGGTATTTTAAACTTTTATCCATGATTTCTTCTGTTTCACTGATTATTTAATAATGTATTATTTTATCTCCAAATGTGTGCCATTTCTGTGGCTTCTTTTGCTACTGATACCTAGATTCTCTCTGCTGTGCTCTGATAACATTCAGAGGATTATTGAAATGCTTTTGTATTTATTTATGTTTTATGGCTTATTATATAGTCTTTTTTGGAAATATTTCTGTATGCTACTGTTATTGTTGGATGAAACACTCTATAGGAATCTGTTAAGTTCACTTGTTCAATAGTGTAGTTTAACTCTGAAATTTGTTAAATATTTTTGTCTGGTTAATCTAATCATAAGATTGTGCCACTGAAGTTCTCCACTATGATTGTGTTGGTGTCTTTTTAAGTCCAGTGGTTTTTATTTTACGAAGATGGATTTGTCAACATTTTGTGCATAGATACTTATAATCATCTCTTCCTGCTGAATTATTCCATTTATCAGTAATGTAGTGGCTGTCTTTCTCTCTTTTGACTGTGGCTTGAAATCTCTTGTACATGAAAATTAAATAGTGATGTCTGCTTGTTTTTAGGATCTGGTTAAATGGAATATAATTTTTTCATCTTTTCACCAATCAATCTGTGAACTTCTTTTTGGATAAGGTGTGCCTCCTGTATGTAATATATGATTGCATTTTGTTTTTCAATCTAATCCGATAGTTTGTATATTTTGATTAGGGATCACAAACTTTGAGAATTATGATTGTGAGATATTTATTGAATCCTAGCATTGCATTATTTTTCAGTACTGATTCTTTTACTTTTTCCTTTTATTTTTTTCTGCCAGAAAGATCTATATTTTCTTTTGGACTCTTTGATGCTGGTTGCCTCCCTGTCTCTATCTTGGCTGCTCTCAAATATTTTCTGTAATTCTATTTTAATGGTCATGTGCTTCATGAAATTTTCTTCACTGTGGAAAGACTTTATTTCTCCATCAATTTTCAAAGGCCAAATTTGCAGTATATAAAATTCTGAGATGACAATTATTTTCTTTTAGTGCTTGAAAAACTACTCTATGCTCTCCTGACCTTGAAGGTTAGTCCTAAAAAGTCTGATAGGCTTGCTTTTATAAGTTACTTGCTGTTTTTCTCCAATATCTTTTAATATTCTCTTGTTGAATTTCTGGAATTTTTATTATGATGTGTCATAGAGAGGTTATTTTCTGATCATGGCAATTTAGAGTTCTATATTCCTCTTGTATTTGAAAATTAAATTTTTCTCATAGATTTGGAAATTTCTCTGTTATGATTTCAGTAAGTAATTTTAGACATTTTAAATTATATTCTATTTTATTTCTTCCTCTATTCTATAATTCTGAAGTTTTTTTATTTTAATTGGTTCTAGCTTCAGAGCATCTTGTCATTTTTAATGTATCACGGAGTTTACACTCTACTACATATACTTTTTCTTTTATTTCTAACATTCTGTCCTCACATTGATTAAGTCTTCTACCCCTAGTTTCCATTGAATTTTTCATATTAGGTATATCTGCTTGCTTTCTTTTTATACTTTTTAGTTCTTCACAAAGTGATCATTTGTATCTTGAATTATCTTGTTTAACTCAATTGTTGTTCATGCTTTTAAGTTCATTCAAAATTTATTTGAAAAATCCTTTATCTGTTTCATTAAATCCTCTTCAAACCTGTTAAACATCTTATACATTTGCTTATATATTTCTTCTTTAATCTCTTCAAGTAGTTTGATCACTTGGGTTATGAGTTTATTGTCTATATCTTCCTTCACGTCAGTGTTTATGAGGTCAGCCTTGGGGGGTTAGAGGCTTTGGGGAGCATGCTGCTGCTTTGCTTGCTCATGTTTCTGTTGCTTTTGCTCGATGAGTTGGAGATCAGTTTCTTCTGGTGTTGATCTTCAGCACTACTCAGCAAGAATAAATCAAATCACAGTAATGCTGATGACACAAAGACAAATCAGATATTCTACACAGTAATATCAATTAAAAGCAAAAACTATGCTACCACTAACAATAACCAGTAAAAAATAGTCAAAGGCCAACTGTTTATTGACATAATATAAGAATCAATACCATCCTCAAAATAGAAAAGAGATCTGTAAGAATAATGTAAACACAAAGACAAACCAAATACAGACATATAGTAATTACTAACTAAAAGCAGCAACTGTACCAATATTAACAACAGAATCCAGATGGCATACTGTCATCTAACTAACTAAAAATTAATAAAGCTTAATAGTAATTTATAATAAAGATGAAGGAGGTGAAGGAAGGGAAAATGAAAAAAGTAACTTTGAAAAAGATAAAGGGAGGTGAGGAGACAAAAAGAAATAAAAATCCAATTAAAAAGTAAAAGAAAGTTCACAGAATTAGGTAAAGGTAACAGAAAAAAAAACAAGAAAAAAGAAAAGAAACATACAAAGAGGCTAGGGATTTAGCTCAGTGGCATACATGCTTGCTTGGCAAGCGTGAGGTTGTGAGTTCAGTCCCTGGTACCAAAAAAATAAAAATTTAAAAATTAAAAAAAAGGAAATATATAAAGAGAGGAAAAAGAAACACTACTTAAAAAAAACCCCTCCAAAAACAAACAGAAAAAAGAAAAATGAATCCAAAATATCCCTCCATGGGTGAGTTGTTTCTTTTCAATACCTGTGGTATTAGAATCCATCAGATATGGGTGAGAGAGAGTGAACCACAAGTTGAGTCTATTGTTTTATTTTATTCCTGTATCTGATAACTTGATGAACTATTTTAAAGATAATAATATGCAATATAAAAACCATTGTTAAATTCCTATCGTCTTGTTTTGAAATCGTATATAACTGTTGTTGGTTGTTGTTTTGGTTTTTTTGCATCTTGATTTTTCTGGGTTTTTTTTTTCCTTCTTTAAAATAAAATAAGCTTATTGGCTTGAGATGGTAATATGCCTTTCAGATTAAATTTTCTGTCTAATTAAAACCACTGACATGTATAGAATGTTTTTCTCTTCACTGAGATTAGTAATTAATATGACTTACCTAGTTTAGTAACTACTATTGGCAAAACTAAGTTGTTGACAATCAAGTTAATTAAGCACACTGCCACTCCATGAAACAGTATCTAGAATTGAAAAATAAAAGTATATTGAAGTAAGCATATTGGATAATTTATTATGCATCGGTAATTATATTTAACAATGTAAATTAGGCTACATTGTATTGTGTCAATAGCAGCTTATGGCATGAGAAGATGTCAGGATTGATGACAGTACTCTGGAAATTCTTCCTGAATGCAGTTCATCCGTGTTTCAGAACTAAACTAGAACCAGGATGTGGCTTCCATCTTGATAACTTGCTCTTTTTAGCCTCTAAGACTGCTCATTCTGAGAGAAGCCAGCTACCATAATGTTTATTGACTTATGGAGAGACCCAAGTGACAGGAACTGAGGGAGAATTTTAGTCAGAGTCAGTGAGAAACTGAGGCCCTTGGTCCACTGCCTCAAATGATTGACTCTTGTCGCAATCATAAATGTGAATTTGGAAATACATTTTCCAGCCAGTTGATCTTTTGATGGGTGTGCCCCTAATTCATACCTAAATAGTGCTTGTGACAGAAACTAAATCAGAAGCACCCAGCTAACCTGCACTTAAGTTTCTGATTCAAAGAGGCTGTAGCAATGCTTCTTGTTCAGAGGAGCTAAATATGGAGATCATTTGCTGCATAGTCATAGATAAGCGATGCATTCATGTTTCATCATTTTTATTTCTGTTATTTTATTTATTTCACCCCAATCCTCATACTCCCCCTCCTCTTGGGGCCAGGAATTGAACCCATGGCCTCACACAAACTAAATGTGCTATGCTACTGAACTACAACTATAGCTCTGTTATTTCTTGTTTCTGATTGTTGTTTGTTTAAAGAAGTACAATTTAGTTTTGTGTTCTGCATATGCACCTCACGTTCTTGTTGAATCGCCTATTAGTACTAGTGTAGTCACACAGCACATACTAACCCTGGTACCTTCCCCAGCACTGCCCATTGCCCTGGGTGACCATTGGGTACAATGTTTGCTAGACATATAGAACGTAGACTTACTAGGAAATTTTACGATACTTTATCATTATATGTCACATAAGTTTTAGGATAGTGGGATTCTATTTAGATAAATGCCCTTTATTAGGTAGTTTAAAAAAAATTCTGTTTCACAGGAAGTTTTTCTTTTTTCTGTTTTTATTAATGAATGGGTATTAAATTTTGTTAAATTCTTTATCTGAATCTGTGCAAATAGTCACAAGGGCTTTTCTCCTCTATGACAGTACTATTCTGAAATATGGTGATTATCTTTTGAATATTAACTAAGATTAAATATTTGAATAAAACCTTTTGATCACAAGGTATTATCCTTCATAGATCCATTTAATTATATTGGCTAAATAGTTTTTAGGGATTTTTAATATCATATTTTATCAGTAGTAGTCACTAAATTAATTTCATATTTTAATAGCAGTAAGTACTAACATTTATGCAGTAAGCATATATTATTATATATCCTCACTATAATGCTGTGCAACAAATAAAAATACTATCCACTTATACAGATGGGAAACTGAGACAGAATAATTTACACAAAGTGACATAACTTGTGAGTAGTAGGGCCAAGTATTAAAAAACAGTAAATCTTCAAAATTAGCATTCTTATTTTCATGCATGCAGAGAGCATGTGTTGGTTATATCCATTGTCTCTACCTTCCCTCAGGTTCTCTCCCTTCCCTTATTCTCTTCCTCTTGTCCATACAGTAGTATCCTCGAAATTAGTATTTTTAACCATAATGGCTTTCTGTAAGTATTAATAAGCTAGCTGTAGAGTTCAGCTGGAAAACATTAAGTAACTTTCTGATGGTTACTCAGAAAACAGCAGCTAAACCAAAAATTTCCAAACTCATATCTATATATACCATTCGTATTATATTGATCACATTCACTTTTATTACCAGGGCAAGTGGAAATGGATTAAAAAGAAGAGAAAGAGAGGGTTATGGTGGTGCAGGCCTGTAATCCAGCATTCTGGGAGACTAAAAGGTCTGAGGCAGGTTTGAGCCCAACTTAGAGAACTTAGTGACTTAGCAAAGTTAAAAAAAAAATTAAAAGAGGCTGGGGAGTATAGCTCAATGGAAAGGTCATAACTTTACTCTCAAGATACAAAAGAGAGAGATTCATCTAATATTTAAAATATTGGTTTTTAAAGTACTTAAATTTCTTAGTCTTATACTATTTGAACTATCATTTAATTAGACACATAACAGTTATCTCACTACTCTTCCTTTTTTTAAAAATTTAACTGAAATGACTTCCATTTTTGACACATCTTTTCCCCATGATGATTTATAGGATCTTTGAGCCAATATAAATATTTCATAAATATTTGGCCATTTGGGTATACACCTACAAAATACCTCAGCAGTATCTTTCAGCAAGAAAAACACTGGAGAGTAAAGACCCGACACAATAGCCAGGTAGACTGAACATCTTTCCAAATATTTGCTTCTGAGGTAAAGGCACCACACCTGTTCAATTAAGAAAGCCATTCTTACAACACAGGATGATATTCTGTTCTTAAGTAGGACCCAGAACACTTAGCCGCCAATTAGGTACTGAATGGCAGAGCTCCATCCCCAGCTTATGCCATGAGCTCACAGGGAGTAAGATCCAACAACTCAGGCTCCTTCCCCTTGGTGCTCACAAAGTGTGCTTCTCTGGGCAGGGAAGGCTGGCAATTCAGTTGAACCCAGGTGCTCTTTGGCTGTCTTCTTTTTTCTGATCATTTTCCTTGACACGTCTCAGGAAGCTATCGCGACTCTTTGAGTGCTTAATATGCTCAATACACACATTAACCTTCTTGGCAATATCTTGCCCTTAACTTGCTTGTTTACAACAATGCCAATAGCATGCTGGGTAATACTGTAAGTTCTTCCTGTTTGCCACGGTAACATTTGTATGGCATTTGTTTTTGCATAGGACCCATTCCCTTGATGTCTACAATATCACCCTTTTTGTAGATTCACATGTATGTGGCCAAAGGAGCAAAGCTATGTTTTCTAAAAGGCCTAGAGAAGAGATACTGTGTTCTCTTCCTCTTTCCCTTTGTGTTCATCATTTTGGCAAATTACGGGAAGATGGCAGTGTTGGCTGAAAGGCTACTCTTCTTTAATACTTGAAATTTATGTAACACAGATACACACACACACACACACACACACACACACACACACACAGGAAATGGCAGATGTGTGCCTCTGTAGGACATTTCCAGCAGAGTTGTGTGATTATCTTGACTTGAAATGCAGTAGAGGTAGTGTGACTCCAGTATGTTCAGTTAAGTAGAGTTCAGGGGTACTGTCTTACACATAACCTTCCTTGACAGTTAAAATTATTTCCTCACATTATTAAATATGGCTTATGTTACAGAAAGTAAAAAGAGGTAGCCATAAGTACATTTCTGCCTTTTAAAGTGGATATTAGGAGTAAACAAAAGTGAACATATGGAGTACATACTTTGGGTCAGGTATTGTTTGAATTCCTTAAATCAACATGATAGACTCATTTTTAGGTACAAGAAGGAATCACAAAATTTCTAAGCTGGAATGAAAAGGAAAATCACAAATTGTTCCTCCTCTTCTCATCAGTCTTTCCGTAATAGCTAAATATCCCTACAGCCTACTCGAGATTGAATTATGTCACTGTAAACCCATATTTTGAACAGCACAGCAATACTTTCGTACAACATTCGGTATTTCTTTACTTGCGATTTTTCCCTCTCACTTCCGAAAGTATGGTCAGCATAAGCCAGCAGAAGGGCCATGTTTATGTTAGGTACTCCTTTCATTTCACTCCAGATCATTATGAATGCCCAGCGCCAGCTGAACCCAAGGCCAAACCGAGACAAAATTGGGGTCAATAATAGAAACAGCAGAAGTCTAAAAAACAAAACAATATCTCAAATGTAATTCTTGTCATGGAAATTTATTTCTCTTCTATCTCAATCTATTCCCCATGGACTTGCTAACTCAAACTAATGAGTCATCTTTCACAGACTATTAGCATCAAACCAAATGAAGGCATTCAGGAGAATGGCCTTATTTTCTTTGTTTTTTTCTATTAGGTAATGGTGCTTCCTCAGATAGAAAAAAAAGGATAGAAAATATATATATATTCTGGATCCCAATAACAAAAAATAAAAATCCAATTAATAAGAAATATGAAGATATGCTTTATAACTTTATAACTTTATAGTTTTGCTAAAACTGTGCAAAAATTACACAGCTCTTTCATATTTCTTTTTTTTCAGCCTCGTATCATTCCTATTTCTCCTCTTCTCCCCATTCATCATAGCTTGATTGGCCTGCCAGGAATTGAGGGATCTTATTTGATAATATGGGACTGATTTTTATTTACTTGACACTGAATTGATTTCAACAACCCAACTAAATTTACTAGATGAAATTGGAATGTTAGCAGTTTAAGTGATGAGGATTAAAGATCTAGGATACTAACTATGGTAATTTTTATCACTTTCACCTCCTTTCCAGATGCATGAGCAGACTCTTCTGTCACTTAAAATTGCAAAAGGGACTATGGAAGTTATCTGAGAAGAAGATATTTACAAAATCTATGATGTATTCACTTTTTTCAAAAAATTATTTCAACTGTAATTTTTCATTCATAGAAATTACTATGTGATATTAAGCAAAGACAAAAAGAAGACTGGATGAAGTATGCCAAATACCAATTAATAATAAATGATGAAATTTTTTTCCTTCTAATTTTCAAAAGTTTACTAGTTTTTTTCTTTCTAATTTTCAGAGAGTTTGCTAAGTGTATTGTTTTGAAATCCAGTTAAGCATGGAGCAAATTACCAAGCATTAATTTGCTAATCACTTCTTGAAAAATTTGAGACAGCTGCTCAGGTATGAAATATTTTTGTTTAAAAAACAAAATTGAGACTTAATTTCCTATAAATAATAAATTCAAATGCTATTCTTACCTGAAAACAAGCAGTGAGAAGTAGATCATTAATGAATAATATATGTCAGAAAATGATATATACAAATATGTATGTGCAGGAATTAGAAGTCCACTGAAAGTAAATACCATAAGAAAAGCAAAAAATGATAGACAATCCCAGAATCTGAAAAATATTAAAATATGATTGTATTGAATTAATGTAACATATTTGTTGCAAAGCTTATCTATATAAAACATTATGTCATTCGTTATGAAGAAAGTAAAAAACAAGGCATTTATCAGCATTTAATAAGTTTTAAATTGAACTGCAAAGAAAGGGATACTAAAGGAATTAGACTAATTTTAAATCAATTTAAAACAGTTTATGTATGTAAATTAGTGAGGGTTTTTTTCATTGTATATAAATAAAATGTTAAGCTATAGTTACGGTATTTGACAGCTCAAATATCTAGACACTATGGTTCACATAAATTGAAAACAGTGCTCATAAAGTCATTGTGTTCTTTAGAAAGAACCACTTTCAATTATTTTTAGAGGGAATTATAAAATACAAATCTGATTTACATAGTGATAGTATTAAGCTATTGCCTAAAATCTAGTTGGTGTTCAGAAGATGTAAATGAATCCTTTTTTGCCAATTTATTCATATTCTGGATAGCTGAAATACAAAAATGGCCTATTTTTAACATGTCTAACTGGATATTTTAGTATATATTTTTATTGTATATTATCCATTACATGTATATTAAAATTAAGGCAGGAGTTTACGGTATGGCAAAGCAACTGGACGATAGGGCATGGCCTGTTCATCGTGGAGATCTGTCAAATCACTGCCTTGATCTCACATCAAAAGAGTAATATAAAGGCCCCAGCTATTGGCTTTAGAGGACTGCCCTTTTGTTCTTGTGGTGGGCCATTCTGAGTGCTGGACATATCCTCACTTTTCTTCAGAGCATTTCTTTTTCTTGAGCACTTCCTTTCTTCTTTTACCTTTTTAAACTTTAAATAAATATCAAACTTTCAAGTTCATGGATTTCCCTATCCAATTCTTTAAATGGGACAAAAGCCTGGAATAAATGGTCCCTATCACATCCGATAACAAAATGACCACCATGATGTACACCTTGTGTAGTTTTATTTTGTGTGTATGTCTACATGTGATGAGAACATTTATTAACTATCTTCTCAACAAATTCCAAGTGCACAACACAGTATTTTTATTTTTTTTAATTTTATTTAAGGAGAAAAGAAAAAAAAAGCAGAGAAAGGGTACAAGTTATACAGATTTACAGAAAAAAAATGAACAGTAGGAAATCACTAGTTAATGGATTACATATTGTCATCTTAGAAATAATTGTTCAAGTCACAAAATTAAAGCTTGTAAAGTGGACATTCCATCAATGATACTGCAAACAGTTCTGTTCATTGATCCAATAAAACTCTGAACACAGTATTTTAATTGTAGACATCATTATAGTGGACATTAAATCTCCAGAATTTAAGTTATATCACTAAAACTTTGTTCCCCACTTCTCTTTGTATTCTGCCTTGAAAGCCATCTTTTAATTCTGTGTTTCTGAGTTTGACTATTTTAGATAACACCATGTAAGTCAGATCATACAATATTTGTCTTTCTGTCCAGTTTACTTTATAAACTGTCCTCCAGCTTCATTCATTTTGTTAAAAATCATAAATTTTCCTTTTTCAAGGCTATAAGGATTTAAAAAGTATAAAAAACTATGGAATTTTCTTAAAAGTATTTCTATCAAAGTTGTTTCTTTCTTGAGCTTAACAAGGTAGACTCTAATGCCGTAAAGATTCAAATATTTTATATATATATATATATATATATATATATATATAGTCTTTGAAAGACAACAGCTATTGTGAAAATGATATATAATGCCACATATGCACATATATAACATAGTTATACATAAATCCATGATTATCATTTCATACATTTGCATTATTTATTCATGTGTCGTCATTTAGTTCACTATTTTCATATCTCAGCAATTGCAAATTATGTTGCAAAAACTATGAAAGCACAACAATCACTTCAAGATATCGATTTTATTTTTGTTAGAGAATATGCTTGGAAGAAGTGGGATTGATCAAATGCTTATTTTATTTTTTTTGTTGCTTTTTGAGAAATCTCCAGACTGTTTTTCAAAATGCTTGTACCAGTTTACATTCTCACCAATAGTGTGCAAGGGCTTTCTGTTCTCCATTTTCTTGCTCACATTCATTAGCTTTTGTCCTTTTGATCATAGTCTTATTTACTAGCATGAAGTGATATATTATTGTGGTTTGATTTGCAGTTCCCTGACAATTAATGAGGCCCAGTTTCTGCTTAGAGATCTGCAGTTTTGCTGATGCCTGTATAAGTGACTTGGTGTTTATTATCTTGCAGTTTTCAATATTCTTTCCTTGTTTTGTACTCTTGGAATTTTATTATAGAGATGCTTTTTTGGCCACGCCTGTTTGGGATTTTAAACATCTTCTGTACCTAGATGTCCATATATTTCCCAAGACTTGGCAGTATTTTTGCTATTATTTCATTGAGTAGATTTTCTGTGCCTTTAATCTGTTTTTTGATGTCCTCTTCTATACACTGGAAATTTAGAAGCTTGGTTTTTAAATTGTGTCCTAGAGTTCTTGAATGTTTTATTCATAGTATTTTATTTTTTATTATTACCTGAATGGAATAACTCATCAAACTTGTCTTCAAGTAATTCTGCTTTCTGCTTGATTTATTTAGGTGACTCCACTGAATCTTTTATGTGATATATTGAGCTTTTCATTTCCAAGATCTGGAATTTTTAGAATTTCTATCTTTATAATGTAACTGTTCTTTCATTCCCTCCATTGTCTTCCTTAATTCATTTAATTGTTTATTTGTGTCTTCTTTGAAATGCTTGATCATTGTAAAGGTACATTTTTAGAATTCTTTGGCACTTAAGGAGTTATGAACCTATAGAAGAAACACATGTTGCTTTGTTTTTCATGCTTCTTGTGTTTCAATGTTAAAACTTTTACATCTTTTAGGAAGATTATGTCTTCCATATATGTGAGTTTCTTCTTAGTGAAATTCTTGAGGGCTCAATCTCTAGTCAGAAATCAAACCACAGAATCAACGAATCAAAGAGTTGGTTCTTTGAAAGAATAAATAAAATCGATAAGCCCCTAGCCAACCTTATTAAAAAAAGGGAAGAAAAAGCTCAAATTCATGCAATAAGAAATGAAAAAGGTGAAATAACTACAGACCCAATAGAAATACAGAAGATCATCAACACCTATTTCGAAAACCTGTACTCTCAAAGGTTTGATAACACAGAAGAAATAGACAGATTCTTAGAGACATATGAAGTACCAAAGCTAGATCAAGAGGATGTAAAACTATTGAATAACCCAATATCTGTTAATGAAATTGAAAATGTAATTAAGTCCTTACCTACAAAGAAGAGCCCAGGCCCAGATTGATTCACTGCAGAATTCTACAAGAAATACAAAGAAGACTTAATGCCGACACTCCTCAAACTATTCAATGAAATTGAAAGGGAAGCAATCCTTCCTAAGTCATTCCTGGAAGCAAATATTACTCTAGTACCAAAATCTGAGAAAGACCCAACTAAAAAAGAGAACTATAGACCGATCTCCCTAATGAACACAGATGCAAAAATCCTCAATAAAATATTGGCAAATAGGATGCAGTAAATCATCAAGAAGATTATACATCATGACCAAGTGGGATTCATCCCAGCAATGCAAGGATGGTTCAACATACGTAAATAAATAAATGTAATCCACCATATCAATAAAGCCAAAAGTAAGAATCACATGATCATTTCTATAGATGCAGAAAAAGCCTTTGATAAGGTCCAACATTCACGCATGATAAGAACTTTACAGAAAATTGGAATAGATGGTCTTTACCTCAATATAATAAAGGCCATTTATGACAAACCAACAGCCAGCATCATACTAAATGGCCAAAAATTGTAAGCCTTTACTTTAAAATCAGGCACAAGACAAGGATGTCCTTTATCACCACTCCTATTTAATATAGTACTGGAAGTACTAGCCAGGGCAATTAGGCAAGAGAGAGAAATAAAAGGGGTAAAGATAGGAAAAGAAGAAGTTAAATTATCATTGTTTGCAGATGACATGATATTCTACATAGAAGACCCCCTAAACTCCATTAAAAGACACTTAGATACAATAAATAAATTCAGTAATGTAGCTGGATACAAAATCAATACTCAGAAATCAATAGCATTCCTATACATGAACAACAAAATCACAGAAAGGGAAATAAGAGAAACCACACTCTTCACATTAGCAAGCAAAAAAAATGAAATATTTAGGAATTACTCTTACAAAAGAAGTGAAAGACCTATACAAGGAAAATTATAATACACTGAAAAAAGAATTGGAGGATGATCTCAGAAAATGGAAAAACATCCCTTGCTCATGGATAGGAAGAACAAACATTTTGAAAATGGCCATTCTCCCAAAACTGCTATACAGATTCAGTGCAATCCCAATAAAAATACCATCAACATACCTTATAGATCTAGAGAAATCACTCCTAAAATTCATCTGGAATCAGAAGAGACATAGAATAGCAAAGGCAATTCTAAGCAGCAAAGGCAAGGCAGTAGGCATCACAATCCCTGACTTGAAGTTATACTACAAAGCAACAGTAGTAAAATCAACATGGTATTGGAATCAAAACAGAGCCGAAGATCAATGGAATAGATTAGAAGATACAACCACAACTACAAACACACTCAACCACCTTATCTTTGATAAAGGAGCCAAGCAGGTTCACTGGAAGAATGACAGTCTCTTTAATAAATGGTGCTGGAAAAACTGGCTCTCCATTTGCCGAAAACTAAAGCTAGACCCATGTCTATCACCATGTACTAAATTAAAATCTAAATGGGTCAAAGATCTGAATATTAAACACTTTATTATTGTTAATAAACAATATTAGTGTTTAGAAACACTAAATCTATTGGAAGACAAATTGGGTAGAAACCTTGAAGACATAGGAGTAGGTAGAAAATTCATGAACAGGACTCAAACCGCATGGGAAATACTTCCCAGAATCAATAACTGGGATCACTTCTTATTAAAAAGTTTCTGCATGTCAAA